CCAACATCCTGTTGTTCTTCCGGCTGCTTTCTCCTCACAGGGCATGCCAGTTCTGGATGAACATTTGGCTAATTTGCGTAATACTTGGGAGCAGGTTCAGCGTTCTTTGGTGGATTCCGCTGCTCGCCAGAAGGTGCAGGCTGACAAGCATCGCAGGGCGGCTCCTTCTTATGTTGTGGGGGACAGGGTTCTGCTTTCTACGCGAAACATTCGCCTCCGGGTGCCTTCTATGAAATTGGCTCCCCGCTTTATTGGTCCTTATCGTATTCTGCATAAGGTTAATCCTGTTTCGTATGCCTTGGGTCTCCCTAAGAATCTGCGTATTCCTAATGTCTTTCACACCTCGTTGTTAAAGCCTTTCGTACGCAACCGCTACACCCAACATGCACCTCCTCCCCCTCCTGTTTCTGTGGAGGGTCATGAGGAATTTGAAGTTTCTGCAGTTCTTGACTCTCGTTTCCTTAGGGGCCGACTTCAGTACCTAGTGCATTGGAAGGGCTATGGGCCTGAGGAACATAGTTGGATTTCCGCTGATGCGGTTCACGCTCCTCGTCTTGTGCGCTCTTTCCATTCTCGTTTTCCTGCCAGGCCTGGCCCTCCCCGCCCGGAGGGCGTGTCCTCAGGGGGGGGTAATGTAGCGGTACTTACCCTTTCCAGGGGCCGGCCGGGGTCCTCTGTTCGAGCCGCGCGCGGTCCTGCTGCTGCACGAGCCGCGCGCGGCTCAGCCGACCGCTGTAACTAGTAGCGGTCACGTGTTCCACCTACTCTAAGAGCGCGCCGCGGGTATCGGGCGCGCTCTTAAAGGGACAGTGGGTGCCTAAATTGGAAAAGGCATCCCATTGGTCCCTGTCATGCCACACTCCCCATACACTTACCTTTTGGGGGCGTGGATGTGACAGGGACCAATCAAATTAGATGTTTAGGTATTTATACTCACCTTCTTTCCTTTGTTCCTTGCCCTATCGTGGTTTCTGTATCAGTTCCCTTTAGCGCTTGTTGTGTTCAGTTGTGTTTCTCCGTATTGACCTTGGCTTTGTTTCTGACTACGTTTTCTCTTTATCCTTATCTGTTCTGGTTGTCGGCTTGTTGTTTACTGTGTACCAGACCCCGGCTTGTCCTAGTTTACGCTGTCTCTCTGTGCCCTTGATTTCGGATTGTTCCTGACTCTGTCTCCTCTCAAATACGTCGAGTCCGGCCATTCTAAGGTCCGGTAGACGTATCTCTCCTCTGTGTTGTCTTTTGTTTAGCTGAATCCTGCGTGTTGGGGTATATTCTCGTTACATATGGTGGGTGCAGGGGCAGTATGGTGGGGCCATGGGCTGTAGAGAGAAATAGAAGGGCTGTAGAGGGAGCACAGGGGCAGGGGCAGTATGTGGGGGGCATGGGCTGCAGAGGGAAATAAAGGGGCATCATCACAAGAGGCCGGCTGACTTCACTGCCAGGCTCCTGTGTGCTGGCTGCAGGGAGAGCAAAGTGAATTGAAAAATCTGAGTCCCCAGCCAGAGGCAAGGGATTCGAATTTTTGCGGCCACCTGTGCCGCCTTATGGACACGCCGGTCCTGATTTTATGCTAGCCTTCACATACAGGGCCACCCCTCCCCTTTCTTGCCTTCCCTGTCTTTTCTATATAAAGAGTACCCTGGTATTGCTATGTCCCAGTCATTTTTCTCATTATACCATGTCTCAGAAACAGTGATTAAATCTACATTATCAGTTGCCACAAGTTCATGGATCTTATTCCCTAAACTGCAAGCATTTGTAGACATGACTAAGTTTATCATTTTTTGACACACTTGCTACAGTCACCTTCTGTCCTTGTATTGGGGGCCAATTGGATTGATGTTTTATCACCCTTTTTCGCCCCCCACCTCCCTCCTAGTTTCAATACATCCTAGCAAAACCTCTGAACTGCTCACTGAGAACATGTGTTCCCTTTTGAGAAAGATGCAAACCATCTTTTTTATACAGTTTATTTCCACTTAAAACAGAGCTACAATGATAAATGAAGCCAAATGACACCATTCACCAAGTCACAAGTTAAAGTCCCAAATACGCACCCGCCTGTTGTGCTGAGTGTTATGCACAGGCAGAACTTCAGAGAATGACAGTGTGGAAACAACCTGCCGTATATCATTGGCAAAAACAAAAAAAATACTTCCTTTAACTCTGAAATCTTATTGCAAGCCAAGTCATTTGTCCCTAGATGGACAAGTACATCCAATCCCCCTTCCTACTTTGCTCGCTTTATATAAATATTTGTAGATTTATATTCCAAATTAAAGCTTTATAGATATCAATATCACAAAATAGCTAAGTGCATACTACATCATTTTGTCAATTAAAAGCATTGGTTAATTAATGTAAGTGGAGGGAAGAAAGTTAAAAAATTTTGAATCCCCACTCTCTGTTATATCATTCAGTGTTCAACGTGTACTTACTGGGCAATTACTACGATACTAATATCTTATTGTGAAAAAAAATTGATTGCTCTCCTTATTAAATATAAGTGTGTTGAAAGACCCGAAAGTCCTCCCGTTATAGTTTATAGAGGCATTCAAATTCTAAGAGGTAAGATTTCTCCTTTCTAAGTTTAAGTATATTAATTTAAACATATTCTTTCCCTTTATAAATGTGTAGATACACGGGTGCTAAAGGGAAGGTGCATATAAAAAATCTCAAGCTTTATTAACAATAACAATATGGTTTAGAATGTATCATTTATCTCAATATTATCTCACCAAAATGTATATATACAAACTTGGGCTCAACAGACAAATGTGCATATTTTTTAACATAATTAGGTTAGTATATTTTTTTTGGGGGGGAGGGGGCAGTGTCTTAATACAGAGCTCCAAGAGGAATAAATCATGGCCAAGGTGGAGGCCAGCATAACATGGACAGCATGTGAAACTTGCAAAGCTAATGGGCTTTCCCGTCAAGTCTGATCATTTCTGGTAATACCTGATAGATTTATTCTGCACCGTTATGTACCGCTGGGATTTCTGTTGAACACAACCAATCAAAGTTAGTGCATTTATTATTTACTTACAATTATGTCTGTCTGTAAGCTAATGCGTGCATGTAATCTCTTACATAGGCCTTGATATAAAACTGTGATATTCAATTTCCAAATGATTTATGCACAGAAGACCCCATTAAAGTCTACGGGAATTTTTGTTGATAAATAATTTAAAAGTTTTCTAACAATTTTTTTTATTTTTTTTTAAATTCTTTATTTTGAAAGATGTTTGTTTTTGGGGTGGGGGTACAGAATAGAGTATGTGGTACAGGTTTGCATAACATTAATCTGCTTTTCATAGTAGTCTAACTTTTCGAATGCATATATCAGTTGTTTGTCTGTAGTTTCAACATACGTACATAGCAAGTAAATATTTTCAACAATCTTGTCGGCATCTATTATTCTTCTTTCGTCCTGGGTTTGGGGTGGGGTACAGAAGTAAGAGGGGTGGGGGTGAGGGTGCTTTCTTATTTGCGATTTGTAACATACATTTTGAGATATATTGTGTTTCCCTTCCCCTTAAAGTCCTTAAGAGGTTATTGCATGTACACGTGTATAACAGCACATTCTAATGTATGATGCAAAGTGCATTACCCGTACATGATGCTCTATACATTTAAAGTTCAATTTGTGTTAGGCGATTGATCTACAAACAATGACATTATAAAAAAAGGTTAACTAGTATAGGCAGGAGCCTCTTCCAAAGGTTCTTCTACTTTCTATGAATTGCTACTTCCTCATATTACCCATTAGCCTGTGGCTTCAAAGCATGACATCTGCTCCTTTTTATTGATGATGTTGTGTGTGCTTTTGCAGCTGCTACATGACATTGGTCTCTATTTCAGGGCCCATTAATTCTCCAATTATCAACAAAAGGGGGAGCGAAATAATGATTACTTAGGACAATGGACATTTACTAGCTACTGCATTATGCTGGTGATAAAAAAAAGTATCATAATTTGACATATTCTAAGTTGGTGATCAGTAAAATATTAAGTTAAATACCAAAGCCGAATAACTATAACACCATGTAACAAACAATGAAGAAATAGTAATAGCTGGTCCATTAAATTTAATATCTATGAATAAAAAAATAATTTTCATCTGACTGAATTATTGGAAATGGTTCATAGAATTTTATAGATTAAAGCACCGTAGCGTATCAATCATTTTAACATATGTCATATTTGTTGAGTAACGTTAAGATACACACACTGACATATACACATACCCTGACACACAGATACAAACACACACTGACACACGGATGCACACTCTGACACACAGATGCACACTCTGACACACAGATACACAGTCTGACACACAAATGCACACTCTGACACACAGATCCAAACTCTGACACACAGATCCACACTCTGACACACAGATAGACACGCTGACACACAGATGCACACTCTGACACACAGATACAGCCAAAAGTACAAGATAGCACTCCAGGGACTTCCAAGTTGAATGAATAAAACTTAGCTTTTATTAGCTCAAAATAAAAATTTACGTTTCAGTCTGTATCACAGACTTTCATCGGGATGGACACACATGCTTCCTGAGGTGCAGCAGCCTCCCTCCTCTTCCCGACGACCCAGCGCTCTCTATAAGAAGTTGGGAGGAATGACCAGCTCGCACTTCGTCCCAGCCTGTCACATTTTTAAAGGCCCGACTGGCCCTCTGTTCAGCAATGCCCATCAGGTGTCCCCAAGTTCATTGGCCACCCGATGGGCCCCATGGTGTGCAGGCCAAGATGCAACGCACTGGCTGCACCGGCTATAGTTCCGCCACTGACATTCTCTAACGTAAAGGAGAAAAGGGTTCCTCTAGCCATTAATGCAAATGTTATGATAGGTGTAAAGTGAAAGTGACATAATAGTGGGTTGGGGCTGTGCCAAGATGGATGGACACATTGAATTATAGCTCCTCCATTCTAACACTATTATAATGCTTTATTGACTAACTTTACCTCAGGCACAGACACTTGCTTGAAGCAGAACTATCCCCAGAGCGACTGACACCTATAAAAATGTCAATTGATATCTACCCCACACTCTTTCTAACAGAAATTGGATGGATTCTGAGGCATTAAGAAATAAATTAAGGAATATATTAAATATCAGTACATGGATATCCAGGATACCTGGTGAAGGTCCGCTACATATTTTAAGAGTCAAACTTTTGCCTATTAGTTATTCTAACAGCTAAGTTCCGTACATCTATTAGTTTCACTTTATCCTATCCATAGGTATCATATATTTATCTAATGTGTCATGATATGACAGTGTAAATCTGAAGAAAGGTGCATTGTGCATGATATGGTGGAATTTAACTTATTTTATCAACTGTTTAAACACACAACAGAACAAAGTAGTGTGTTATTTGCTTCTAAAATTATGGTGTTGCTTTATGGTCGATCTTTTTTTAAATCTGTGCTTCTTTAAGACATTCAATAATCACATGGTCTTTTCAAGTGCCTGCCATCTACCAACCCCTTTCTTGATTCATTATGGACTAAGGAGGGTAACACTTAAACTACTTAAACCATACTGCAGAGCTGAATCACAATGGGCTTACAACAGTTTCAATGCTTACAGGAGGACATTTTTACTGGATGGACCATACCCTTACCCTTTCAGCTGAGTGGTGTTTGGAATGTACTTTCTGACTCCGGCCTCAAAAATGTACCATAATCCTTCCTTAAATTGGAAACACACTACATACAGTTAAAAGTTTCTACTCCAATCAGCCTCACCGACACACAAAACATTACAAACAGTTTTAATGAGGGGCTTAAAACACGATAAACAAATTCACTGGAACAGAACACCAAATTAAAATTTCACATTCAATAAAACAGATTTCATATAAAGAAAGAGTGGTTTATTTGCATTTTAGTAAAACAAACTATACCAAACGAATAATATAAATTATAACACAACTTGCCTAAACAAAAAGAAAGCAACAAGTAAGGGTGCTCATTCAAATGCAGTAACCGCCGGATCATACAATTCTGAAAATAGATCCTATAGATAAAAAGCTAGGCTTGCATTACACCATATTAATTTAAATTCCATGCGCTAATGTTTCCACAGTGTAAACATACCCACAGATGTTTCTCGCGCGGTGAGTATATTTTTAAAGGCTTAATAAAATATAATGTTTCTCCATTCCCTCTAACGACATAAATCACATTTTATGAACAGCTCATAATAACACAAGGCTTTCTGCACGTTTTGCTTCATAATATGTTGTTGGCAACTTTAACCAAGATAGTGTTTAGTTCTCCACGGCAACAAATTATATATACAAAATTAAGCCATACAGCAGGTAACAAGAGAATTTAATAATCGTATAACCTTTTTATTTATACAGAAAAAAAGAATCTGTAAAATCCATTGGTTTAATAAAATGCATTTCTCTGTTTTTAATGAAATAATTAAAATTGGAGCTTTATGTTTTCCTGTTAATAACGGATGTGCCAGTTTGGTACCTTGGCTAAGAGATATTCGTAGCAAGCCAAGAGTTAATTGAGCCAACAGATGATGAAGTGCATATCACTCCCCTCCTTACAATACAGGGCATGGGAGGCCTGCGACAGCAGGCGCTGCAGGCAAAATCTCAGTCTGATCGCCAGCTCAGCTGTCATACTACATAGAAGCAGACAAGAAACCTCTGCTAGCTGAACAGCTGTCTTATTTAATAGATTGCCCAGTTCACTGCTTCCAGACATCATCATTTTTTTTTTTTCTACAGCACTCCAATCCACTTTGCACACTTCATTGTAGGTTCCATTTCAAGTTTACTACGGCTGGAGGGGGTGAGAGAGAAAAATGATTACGCCGAACACCTCCTCCTGCAAAAACAGATCAGAAAATGGTATTATCCCGGACGCACATTTTGCAATCAGGTAAGCCAAGGCGATCGTAATTAATGGATCTCGGTTCTGTACTGTCGTTGGATGTGGTTGTGATTTCGGTAGAGAAGAAATGTGTCGCTGAAGGGAAGCGGAGAGATGACAGCAGCTGGAGAACCCGGAATGTGGACGGTTTATTTAAAGCTATAAATGGCTTAGTTTAATATTCTGCGTAAATCGTGATTTTAATGAATGCTGGGGAAAAAAAAAAAAATCTAGCGGATGAGTGCCAAAAAAAATGTGTGTAAGTAATAAATATGCATATAAGAGAGCTTTTTTTTCCTTTTTCATCTGTGTAATCTGTTAGCTAAGATGGGAGTTGAGTAAGCACAGCCAATGTTAGGATTTGCCTTTTCAGAATAAAAAGAGCATGTGGTTCTTTTCATAGGATTAATGCCAGTTTCTTGCTGCAGGTGCACTTGTGGTGTGACCACAGGAGGGAGGCAATAACTGACATCCTCCCCTATTCAATTCACAGTCAAAAGAGTGTTTGTAATTCAATGGTTAGCTTGCAAAGCCCAGCCCATATGGTAACTGCTTGGCATAGAATAGAGAGAGTTGTACAGTAGAAAAAGCAGCATGCGTTCTGCCTATTCATCAATATACTCTAAATGGATGTGGATTTTTTTTCCTCTCTCCTTTAATTTGTTTTCATTTAATGCGAACAACAAAGGGTTGCACACGGAGGACAACAAAGCTGTCTAATTGCTAGACCACAACTACAATGCACCTCGCAGAGTTTTTCTCTTATGCTGGGTATCTTTCACTTAGGAGAATTCTAAATTATTCCACACTCACTCAACTGAGCCACATAGATTGTTACTAAATATCTTGAGATCTCTAGCATATTATAATATATACCCATATTTAAGGGTTTATTACCTTTGCCCCAATGATAACATTAGAGGTATGCATACATACACTGGTGTATTCAGTGCTTTACAACTGACAGTAGAACATATGGGAGGAACTGTAAGTTAGGAAGGTGTGGCAACATTGTTACCAGAGATCCTCGATCCAGAAAGTTAACAATCTAGATAGGAGTGTAGCATGATTTTTATCCATAATTTTCACATAAAGTTAATAATTAAGTTATTTGCCCAATACCTATAGATATTATGGTAGCAGATCATAGTAGAAAGTGTATCTACTTCTTATTGATAAAATGTGAATTATTTCTTTAATAGCCAAATATATTGGAATAATCGTTCGTACTAAACTGAAGAGTAAAATGAAATATAGGCGGGCAATGGGAAGTGAAATTAAACTATAAACTTATCCTTGCAGAACGGTACATCCATCATTTTTTTACATAGGGGGAACCTACAACAAAGCCGTGTATAAGGACACATAACAAAGGGAGGCATAAACTTACATGGTATTCTTCTGGTATCTGTGTTGTTCCCCCGGCCACAGGAATGTAAGACCCTATATATCCATTGACCCTTTGTATCCAGTGAATGCATGGATTGCCTTTTAGGCAAGAAGAGGGAGATTAAGAAGAATAGATCATCGTGCCATAGTGCCTGAGACATGACAAAGCATACTGCATCAAGCCACCAACTACAGAGGGACACAAAGAGAATATGAGTCACCATTGTGCAACATACTGTATAACTAACACTATGAGAATAGACGTGACTAATCCATACATTCCTCACACTAGACATGCTGTAAAATGAAAAAAAGAGGATGTGGCTGGTATTTAAAATTAGATCAGTGTTTTTATATCTACACACTTTAATGGATAAATGACAGTCTTTATTATTTGTTCAGAACTGTTTGTGAACACTATGCAAGTTATCTCCATTCAAATTATGGGATTGTTGCACTAAATACTGCAAAGATTTCCAAATGTAGGCCAGAATAAATTATTCCAATTTGCTAATTTAGGTTTAAGTTGAGTAACTCTGTTATAAACTCTTTGCAACCTATCGTTTATTGAACAGAACCCATGTGGGCTATATTTAGAAGCAGCACATTTTTGGACAGTAATTGGAATCTATTGTTAAAGAAACTATTGTAAACAAAAAAAATAAACAACAGTTCCCTTTAAACGCTTGAAATATAGTACTCTGCACCAGACTTGCTTTATATACGTGTGTGTTATGTTATTTTTGTGATGTATCTCATATTACAAATTGACAATGATTGGTGTGATTGCTTCAGTATTGGTAATTGAAAAATTCACATATTTATAACGTAGCAAGCAAAAGTCAGATTACAAAAACAAGAACAGGAAGATTATTCCAGAATACATCACTACTCTAATGTTTTATTCTCTGTGTCTGAAGTGTTCCGCAGAATTAAAAATTTTGCACAGAAACGTTCTCTAACTTTTTTCCGCATTTATATTTAATTTACAATAATGTGTCCTGAAATATTATTTCCTCACATATTTATATGCTCTAAAAGATATTTATTAAATAGCCTTTCCTGTTTATAATGGGGCAGGCAATAAATCTTTCAGGCTTGTATGCTTGAGGTGCAATATATACTGTACGATAATACGGCAAAGCATGCTCATTTGTCAGATGGCCTGCGGCCATAAAAAACACAATAAGAGCTGCAAATGACCAGTGACCTTCTCTGTGCATTGAACTTTATTCACACATAGGGGGCTCCTGCAAAGTCTAGCAAGCTATTCACAAAGCAGGAGATAAGAAATTCTAAATTAAACAGAATTTGCAATAAAGGAATTGTAAATATTAGATAACTCTTTATGACTGCATAAACAATGTGATTTTTCTCCTAAATGGCAGAGAACTGAGCAATGACACTGCAGGGACATGATTTATACACCAAAGATGCTTAATTAAGCTAAAGATGTTTTGGTGACTTTTAAAGTCAACTACGGACACCAAAAAGAAATGGAAGCCTTATTTTACTATCACCTACTCTATTGACAGAGTCAGAACTTGTCATATGTTTATTAATATGTTTATTGATGTTTTAGTGATAGCACAGAATCTGCAACACTAGTATATAATAATTGAATATAAGCTATGGCCCATTTTTGCTCAGAACCCAGAACTGGATGCAGGGGTGCCAGACGATCACCCTGGCCGATGCATTGCAACTGTTGCTGCTGGAACAATTCTTTGATCACACACCACCAGAAGTCTGCAATTGGGTTCGGGATCGGAAGCCGCTCACCATGGAGGAAGCAGCGCGGTTGGCTGATGAGTATCAGAATGGTGGGAGGGCTGAAAACAGCAGAGGTCGCCTCCACCAAATGAGATGAACCACCTGTACCCAGAGTGGTACATTCATCTGAAAAGTCTCCCGTAATCACGCAAGGTTTGTGTGAATATAGCGCTATCTCTATCGCATACCCAAACATCAGTCGAGACTAGATGAAGGGTACAAAAGGACTGGTTTATTATGGCTAAGTTGCCTTTTTATATACACAGAACCACAGCATGGGGTCCCCAGTAAAAACATAGGTAAGCCTGCCCATGCGTCTCTGTGTCTGGGAAATAAGTGAGTTTGCTTTTGCTTACACTAATTATCTCCCAGGCACTCAAGGTACAGTACAGAGCACATAAAACACCCCAAAACACACATAATATTGATAGGAACCCCAAAAGTCGAATATCCCCTGATAGCCCAGATCTGAGCACCCAAGTTGTCAAAATAGCGCTCAGATCCCTGCAGTGTGGACGGATCACCACCTGGTAAAGTTTTGACTGACCCCACACGTGGCTGCTGCTCAAAATAGTTTCATAAAAAAAGAGGTAGCAGCCAGTCAATCTTCGGGAGTTCCTATGTGAATTCAAATAAAGGATCCACCTGGCTCACATGGAGCAAATGTTCCCTTCGTTCGGGAGTGTCTTTTCCCCAAACAGCACTCTCCTGGCTTGTGAGAGAAACAGTGCAATGTTCACGGGGTTCGCGTGTTAAGCTATCCGTCATATAGTTCCACGCACTCGACGACCAAGCACCGAACTAAAGGGGAAACAGATTGGGTTAGGTGAAATGGGGAAAGTTAAAACAGGGAAGTTCTTCACAACCATGCTTGTCAATAGTGAATGAACCGCACACAATGGGATCCTCTCATTTATAACCCTTTAACTGTAAACCTCACTGCTAAGCATGTTGTCCTGAAAACATTTTGTTGTATAGTGAGACAATGTACAATTAAGGGGTAACCTATCTAAAGGAGACTATGGTGGACCGCCTGGTACCCCGACTGGGTACCTCCGCCAAACACGCTCCTTAGCTATCACAGAGACACCATCAGCACTTCCACCTCTAGCTACCGCAGCTTGGCTGGGGTCCCCCCGTTGTTTCCCACCCTGGAACAGGGTTCTGTATACAGCTTCCTGTGATCAAAGCTCTCCTGCAGAGAGTACAGCTGTGTAGTGATTAGAGCTGCCAATTGATAAAAGCTCTGGAGTGAGTATAACCTTCCCCCACAGACATTAGCCGAGACTTAATGCTGGGAGTGAACAGGATAATGGGGCATGGTACAGGCAATTTATACACAGACCCTCAGCAGGGGGTCTCCATAAAATTTGGCAGCCTAGTTCAATCCTACTGAACAGCGGTCTTCTGAGATGTACGGAAACTAAAACAGGCGAGGTTGGAAGTTCAGCGGTGCTTGCGAGTTAGTCTGTCCAATTTCAGTTCTATGCACTCGACAACCGAACACCACTGCCTGCGTTTGTGCAACAAGATGGCCGCCAACTCATTTTCCACATGTGCGTTCATGTGAACGGCGGCCGAACACTTGTGATAACGTGTGAAAGGATGATGGAGATGTCAGGAGAGGTTAAGAGGGGTTAACAAGCCCAGAGGTGGCACACAATTTTTGAGTTTGTTTGGTTCCCGAAGTGAAAAGGGAAAACACATGAACCAAGTATTTTGAGGGTTGCTTACATAGTCCATAGTCCTTGGGCAGGAGGCTAGCTAGCAGGCTCCTCCAGGAGGTTGTGGCATAGGCATATTTGCCACAGAGACATTTATGGGGAGGGAGGACACTGGTACGGATGGTATGGAGACATGTGGGCGGACCTTCAAGAGGGAGGACACCAAAGAACAAAAATGGAACAGTGAGACAGGTAGAAGGACCTTCAATGGTTAGGGACACCAGTAAACAAAATTGGAATGGCAGGACAGGAACCTAAAACAGCAGGCCAGCTGGAAGTCCTGGATTTATCATGGCAAATTAGTTGCAGTTCTAGGAAAAATGCTTAATGCTGAGAGTCATTCTATAGGTTTCCATGGTAATTGCTTCTTATATAGCATACTGCTCCAGAATATAATTAATCTCACCTTTAGAAAACTTATCTTAAGACACGTCAGTTTTTATTTCAGATGCAATAATATTGGGCAGTTAGAGGTGTGTCATTTTCAAAGTGTATGAATACATACACTTGATACAGACAGTACTGAGAATGGAGAACATGTATTGAATTATACAAATACTTTAAATTGCTTTCAAATGTAAGCAAATGACTTTGGCATATTGATACATGATCCAAACTTTTGCATTGTAGACAGCTTCATACCAATAAGCCCAGTCATAGAACTATGCAAAACCACAGGGTTAGTGGTGTAATTGATATATGCATTTCATATGTATATCATAACCTGCCAAAATACTGTAAGCTTCATTTATATGCAAAATTATGCACCACAATTTGGCATAGCATCGCTGGAAAGAAATTCCTCTAAATGTTTCCTTGTATATCCTTGTATAATTTAGTCAAAAGCAGCAAACTACAAAGTGATCTTTTTATCCAATGCTGATCCTCGTATCATCTTTTACCTGATAGGCATGGTCATTATGCATTCTTCCTACAGGCACCTGGTTTCTATGTTTTACAATTGGGGCGTTTTTTATACTCCTACAAAGCTCCTTGCTCGTGATGTAATTGTGTTGTTTTTTTTTATAGGAGGGAGCATTGGGAATACCCTGTATGCTACTTTTGCAGTAAAGGGTTTGCCCTTTTAGAATTTTCTTATTAATTATTACTTTTATATATATTTTTTATATATATATATATATATAAAAATATGGGCAGACTAGATGGGCCGAATGGTTCTTATCTGCCGTCACATTCTATGTTTCTATATTTCTATGTTGGGATCATGTTGACTGTGCTAGGATTTACAGTTTTTCAAGTGTTCGAGAGCCGTAGCTACCAGAAAATATCTCACCATTATTATTTCAAATCGATCCACCAGGACTTGCACTGATGATTTATGGCTTGGGTGTTCTGCCGGATCTCACGGTATGATGGGTCCGGAGGTTACCCTTCCTGTGTCTGTGCTGTGTGGTGATAGTCCCAATGATCTGTCACAAATTCAATCCGTTTGGCGGGGTTAACAGGTACCGCCCACCCTGATTACGTCAATGTGTACCACATATGTACGTAGTACGCAAGTCCTGGTGGATCGATTTGAAATCCCTGATACCAAGCATTTGTGAGTAGCGGAGCCACTCTGCCCGCATAAATCTCACCTACTTTTATCTTGTAAGCAGTATTGAACCATTTTTTTTCTTACTTTATTGTCATTAAATTTGTTCTTTTTTATTTATTATTGATTTACTGTACGGTCATTTATGTATTCTTTTCTTTTACATGTCATCGAGAATTATCTCCTGGCATATAAGTATACATCTTATATATTTTTTTTTTCACCTTCACACATAAGGTGTATAGGTGGATTCTCCTGTGATTTGCGCTCCACTTATCTCTAATGTTTTGTAAACTAAATTTAAAGGTTGACTGTACAAATAGCAACTGTTTTTTATGTAAATACATGTAACAGTGATATTTAGGTTTCTGATTTATTATAGATTAGTTAGATATCCACTAAATGTCTGGCTGGTTACAAACTTTAAAAAGTTTAGTTGAACAACTCCCTTTAAAAAGACAATGGACTCTGTGTAATAGTGTATGAGATACGTATGGTCCTAAAGGTAAGTGCTGCTATAAAGGCCATATTTATTTGCAGTAACTGAGACCAAGACAGAGATTAACTGTTCACTTACTCTTGTTATCCTTGGAAGAAACACATATTAACATGCATATTTACTTTCTAGCACAGGCATTACACACACAGTCTCTCATTTTCACCTTAAAGCACCCTCACATGGATCTCCATGGCGTTCTATTAAGCAGGGGAAGCCCAACAAATGCTTTTCCTGCTGAATATCCCAATGAGATGAGGTTTATAAGATGGGAGGTGAGGAAAGGGATTCCCAAGGTCTAATACTGTGCCTCTCTTCTATAGAGCAAAGACCAAATGATGCCTATGCTATTCTCATAAAGCTAACATATAAATGCAAACGGTGAGTGACATCAACCTTTAGTGCCTTTTTTTGTCATGGTATGGCTGATCGTTGCATGAAAACGTGGTATCCTCAAGCACACCAACTACCTTTTCTAAAATCAATAGCTTTTAAAGAATTATCAGAGCTATATATCACAAACAAGTGACTAATAGCCAAGTCAAATAATTGTAACATATCCACATTTTTCTATTAATTTTACAACAAATAAAGTGTATTATTAACTTTATTAAGCAAAACACTCTATACTCATTTTCAAACTTTGACATAAAAATATATGTATGAATGGATAATATATAAATAAGATAAGATAAAGATTTGGATATAGAAGGAAATAAACAAATGCAAAAACAGACCATGGTGTAGTATGTTAAAAATCATGTAATCATATTGTTATTCAACTCACATGTTGCTGAGCTAAGTATAGTAGACACAGACTTTTAAGTCTCCGCCTCCAATCAGATATCTCTTTGGCAGTTTTCTGGATTCTCCCACAGCAGATATGTGTAAGTGCTTCATATAAATAAATGAGAATAAAGGAAATTTATTCCTGCCCCTTGGGTGTCATCAGTAAACATACTTAAAGGGACACACCACTGCCCCAAAATAAAAAAAAATACATTAATTTAAAGGGACATTATAGTCACCTGAACAACTTCAGCTTAATGAGGTTGTTCAGGTGAGAACTATAGCTCCCTGCAGCCTTTCTCGTGTAAACACTGTATTTTCTGAGAAAATACAGTGTTTACATTGAAAGCTAGGAACACCTCCAGTTGCAGTCACTCACAGTGAACTAGAGGGCCTTCGGAGTTGATGGAGGCATAATATGCCTCCATCCACTCAGATCTGCTGTCAGCAGAGCACAGGGCAGCACTGTGCACAGCATCCTGTAAATCAGTATCTCCTCCCTCTGCATGCAGACACTGAACTTTCCTCATAGAGAGTTATTGATTCAATTCATCTCTATGAGGAGATGCTGATTGGCCAGGGCTGTTTTTGAATCATGCTGGCTCTGCCCCGATCTGCCTCTTTGTCAGTCTCAACCAATCCTATGGGGAAGCACTGTGATTGGATCAGGCTACCACATATCAGCAGATTGCTTGTTTTTCTGAGCATGCAGATTTACAGCTTCAGGCTTGAATACAGTAAGATTTTTACTATATTTATGGAGGCATGAGGGGCCCAGGGGGGGGCTAGATGGTGGTGTTAACACTATAGGGTCAGGAATACATTTTTGTGTTCCTGACCCTATAGTGATCCTTTAAAAAAAAAGTATATATTCCCCCAAATGAAAACATGCATTATTATTATTTATTTATTTATTATTATTTTTTGTTTATTGGGATTATATTTACAAGTGTGTCTTAACACGTCCTACAGAACCTTCAACAACCTATGTTATTCTAGCCTTTGCCGTTGCTTTCAACCCTATTCTTCCATACCAATTATGTATGCATTAGTCTTGATCATCCTCCTAGGCATTCCACAAGTATGTCTTATAAACATATGTATTATATATAAAAAAATATATATATATATCGATATATATATATATATTAAGTTCACATTGGGAGTGTTCAGGTGACACGATTGAGACCCCACCCGTGTTTTTCAGCCTCCTGGAGCCCAAAATGCTTAGCTGCGGCCTACTGGACATGAAGTAGGGAGGAAGCGGTTGCTCTTCCCGCTCCTAGGTTTACAGTGTGGCCCTGCTGACCTCCTACCCATCCCCCCCTCTTTACTGGTGTTGGCCAACCCTTACCTACCTCTTGCCTCCAGCCATCACTGACACAAACCACGACGACCTACGATGGTGTCTGTCACCCCGCAAGGCACGAGAGAGCTACACATAAAACATACAGTTTACAGTAGCAACACAGACCTTTGCGTACTACGCCTAGATGATATCTTCAGGCGCTCCTGGATGCGGCTCCAAGAGCAGGCAGAGGCTGCTCAGTTCACTCTCTGTATAGAAGCTGAGAAGGGAGAGAAACAAAAGGCAGGAAAGACCCCTCCAGGCATCAAGCTACAGAAATCATGCATCCATCGGCCCACTCGGCAGCGTAGACCAAGAGGCACTGGAAGCTTTACCTCCTCACAGTGCACTCAGGTGCAGAAGACTACCCGCCGAAAGCGGCAGCCTCTTCCCAGACCCATAGCTTACCCTTGGTTTAGGAGGAAGCTGGCCATCATGGACCTCCGAGCCCATGGAGCCATGGAGTCGGCTCCTGTGGAGGTCTTGAGCTGGGGGACAGCAACACCTGGGATCCACTCTGCAACCTTACACATGGATTCTTTTGCCGGCAGCTTCACCCTACCGCTTGTGGGAGTCGGCTGAATCTGGCCTCGGGCCCGCATCTCCACCTCATTTGCCGTGAGCGAACCTGACAGTCCCACCTTATCTGCCTCACATCCAATTATTCCTTCCATTTTTGATGTTTCCTTTTTATGTTATTATATGATTTTGTGTGTTGAGGTGTGGTAACATACAGTTTAGTCCTAGTGGTTTCATCCCTTGAATATTTTTCTAGCATGTAAAACTGCTGACCTAATAACTATGTCTTTATATCAGTCATCTTATGCCATGCTTGTAATATTCTATGATTTAATTTATACAATGCATAGAACCTTGTACACACGTATCTCTACTTCTGACTACATATTCACTCACTATTAAGACATGTAAGTTTAGCTTGTTCAATCACCGCCTATACCTGCCTGGACTTTGTGTTTGTGCTAGGGGTATCGGTTAAATAAGCTAATATCCAGCAGCCCCTGCCAGATCTGGCATTCTAGCTCAGCGTGCATGCTGTTTTGCCTTAACACTCAGTGAGCAAAGTTAAAAAGCAACTAAAGGTTTATTTTTTTCTTTTAAATTTTATGTTGTTGTTGTCCTCTACCAGTTTTGACCTTCTTCATATTCATACTCAACATCATAAGTCTGTCCCTGAAGTTGTAACCTAATCCTGCTACCATCAATAGTATACTCGTCTGACAAGCTTTAATGTAAGGGGTAGCTCCAAACTAGTCATCAGGTATCTCTGCATACATACTCACCATGTTTTTGCCTTTAGCACAAAACGGATCTTTACCATGTGTGATGCCATGCCTGTCTTTTCATATATAGTGCATATGATCATCCTATGTTTTTATCTATTCGTGTATCACACATGCATTGTTATTCTATACTTGACAAAAAAAAAAGAGGCTACTCTTTTCTGGAGCCTATTTTCCTTGATTGCATTCATGGTCCATGTGAGCTCTTACTGCTTTTTTCTGTTGTTTATTACTCAAATGCCTCAATAAAATAAAGAATTTAAATTAAAAAACAAAACAAAACAAAAACATTAGAGAAGGGGCAGAGGAGTTAGCTGTGGAGCTGAGCAGACGCATTTTCTAGAGCTCCGAGCCTACTTGCTGAAAAACTGAGATTTTGGTTGTAAAAGCAGGCACTCACCCGATCAAACATCCCCTCAATTGCTGTGGGAAGGAGTCATGGGTGTCATGAAGAATAAAAAAAGCAAAGGTTGACTAAGGCCCATCAAGCCGTGATTACGGCAAACTCCTGCGGGTGATGAAGATTCCTCCTTCTCATTGGAGGATATCCTCTTTGACCAAGGGGCATCATATACCCTCCTGATGATGCAGCCACCTAAGCAACAGCTGAAAAGCATGTTAGCAGTCAGACATGACCAACTTTAAGGACGCCACTGAATGTGCCACCTCTCGGATTACCTAACTGGAGGCATTAACAAGTGCCCAGGACTCCTTGGATCACAAAACTGCTGCTATTCAAGCACAGCAACTAGCCACCAAGGACAGAATGGATGCTATAGAGGACCAGAGGAGGCATTATATTATTTATATATTGTAAAATACAAGGTATTCCAGACTCGACTTACCTCACTACATCCGACACTTACAGCCCGTTTTGACTGCTGAAGCAGCTTACAGCAACTACGACTGGTCAAGCATACTTCATAATCTGCTTCCAGAGCCTTCTTTCTTCAGATTCTTCAGATTAAATAATTTTTCTACCGCTGGGGGATATCAAAATTGCTCCTTTTCACTCATATGGGTGCTTCCTGTCTTACATAGAGCTATTCACCCCCGCACAGCCCAATGCCTAATTTCTTTAAGTAAGGTGACCTGAACTGCTACAATCTAACCTGATACCCCTGTTGTCCACGCAGGGTCCACAAAGATCCACCACCGAAGGCCACAGTTACTTTTGTGTTTATGTACTCTTGTTGGCATTTTATTTTTATGGTTTTCTATACCAATTTTGTTCATGCCAGTTCCCAAAGGCAATTAGCTTTTTACCACATTAGAGCAGCGATGTTTTCTTTCCTCCGAAGCACGCTTCCAAGCTGTCCCAAAACATGATGAAACTCCACTTATTGCAGGCCACCTCCCCCCTCCTATTCCTGGCAGCCCGACGTGGAACCCATGGCCAACCTTTGACAACCCAGGAGTGAGGTACATCCTCACGAGGGTATACCTAGTTGCCCAACATCATCTACTGTGATACTAATATGCCCTTAGGGGAATTGATAACTAGCCTTTGTTTTCTGTTTTTATATTTATTTATAAAATATTTTACCAGGATGGATACATCGAGATTTCTCTTGTTTTCAAGTATGTCCTGGATATGTATCTTCTTCTTATTTTAATTTGATAAAATCTAATAATGGAACTATCCGTGTATTTCATACTATAATACATGTACGTGCTTTACTCATATGTGGAATGAAATAAATAAAAAAAAAAATAAAAAAAACATTGGAGACAAGGAAATAAAGAAATTAATTTAAGCAGAAGTGAAATGAGGTGGATTTTTTTTTTGTCAACCTATCTTTTATTGAGGCATCAAAATCACAATACAGAAAGAAGAAAAAAGAGTCATGGCAATTGTACACATATCAGAAATGCAGTGAGTATTCACAGTAATATAAATTCCTATGAAAGGCAGCCTCATTAATTTTTCTGGCAAAACATATGAAAGGTTACGCATGAGAAAACAACTATAGAGTAAACAGGTTCCGTATGCATGAGTAAATAGTGATAAAAGAAACAAGCTAGATTTACATGAGAAGACAACTTTAGTGTACACCATCCCAGGGAGTTCTAGGAACACAAATTAAATGTCCATTCTGTGTTGCATGAGGACAGTAAACATTGTAAATTAAAAAGAGTAGGCATATAATAACGATGAGTATTCTGCATTGATAGGCTGTGTGCAGACATGCGCTAAGAGACTTGAACGTGCGGTCAATCTATGCCCGTTACAGGCAGGTCACAGTCCTATCCAAGATTGCTAAGCTGTAGGCCCAGTGCCAAAGGTGTCAGATGCAGTTCCCCTAAAGAGAATGGCCTCCCTCTTCATCTGCATCTCTCCGCTTACTTCTCTTGTTTGCCTGGTGAGTGTTTAGTGCCGATGTTGGGCTGCCTACCAGATTCCTCAAGGTGTATCGGTAAGGCCTCTGCCATCTCAGGGGTGCCAGGTAATGTGGTGGTTTTTGGAACGTTATTGGAGGCATTGTGGCAGCCTCATGGGCTGGTAGAGATCTCCTCTTCCAGAAAGCCTCAGAGTGCTTAAAGTCTGTGGAGAGTGTTAAAGTCTCTCCATGGGAGTTCAAGGTGTACTCAGCGACTGCCATCTTGTGTGTGCTACGTTTGGTAGAGCTGGTATCTGCGGCTCTGCCGCACAATTCAGTTGGAGCAGGATATCTGCCAGGACGTGAGCCAGGATCACCCCACTGGCCCAAGGGTAAGAGAGCATCAGATTATTTGGAGCCCTGCTTATGCCAGTAAGGAAGATTGGCCACCTCCCCTTTTCTCAGCGCCTGCTAGGCCTCAGATTTGTCAGCAGAGAAAAGCAACCAGAGAGTGCTTATAGATGGAGGGAAGTACTCCCAGGCTGGTCTGTTGAATTGGTAAGTGGAGTATATGCTGCCAGCCGTAAAAATATAGCCAGAAAACTCAAGATGTGAGATTTAATCTGTATCTCCCAAGGAGCTCTCAGAAGAAATGTCTGGTCACCATAGCAGGCATTAGATGGATTTTTAATCTAGGTACTCTAGCATTGAAGAAATCTCTTCAAAACTTTACCCAAAACTAGGTTCCCTGTATAGAAACAAGCCCTACAGTAAGGAAACAGGCAGTGCAACAAATGCTAATGCTGGTCCAAGATTATGGGGATGTCGTGTATGCACCTGCATCGCAAACCCACCTTAATAAATATAATACATAATAGAATTAGTTCTGCCACTTTGAACTAGAATGTAATAAATAATAACATAATAGTAATAATTACTTTACCCACCATTGTGACATGCTAAAAGAGCTAAACTGTCTGTCGCAGGAATCCCAACACACTCTTCATCTTTCCAGACTTGTGGATAAGAGCATTTCTGGGAAGCTCCCACCCTACCCGAGTAAAATGCTCTCCCTGGCTGTTCCCACCTCCTATAACCTCCGATCCAGTACTAGCATGAAATTTAGCATACCGCAACACAAAAATAAAGTGGCTCGATCCTCCTTTTCCTACAGAGCACTGGAATTATAGAATAACCTCAGGGACACAGTAAAATCTTTATTCAATCGAAAATCTTTTAAGAGATCTATGGCAACATACGTCAGCACAGAATGCACCTCTCATGGTTGAATATAGTTATAACCTGTTATGTGTTAAATTTATATATGTGTGTTAAAGTAGAGATTGTAGCCGTATTAGTATGGTGATGTAGATGTAAACAACAGATGCAATTTGTATCTTGTAATACCTTTTTTATTGGACTAACAGAATTTTTTAATGATAAGCTGTTGGGAGAACCTCCGTTTCTCAAGTCTGAAGCATTTCTGAGCAAGTCGACATATATAAAATTCAAAGTTGGGTTGTGATACAGGGGTTAAAGCGACATGAGTGCATGTAAGACAGGTTTGATAGAACATAGACATCATTCTTGCAGAGGGTCGGAAATACCTTATGTGAAGATAACAAAGTGAGGGGGGAGACAGAGAAAAAATAAAACAGGTGAACAGTGCAGAAGATGGGGCTAGAAGGGGGAAGTATTAATATAAAGAATTCATGAATTCCCATCCAAGAGTTACAGGATATGCATGAATGACTATAAAAATGAGAGAAATCTTAATGTATCCACCCTGGTAAAATATTTTATAAATAAATACATCGGCTGAATGCCGATTCTAAGATAACATTCTACTTAATGCCTTTCCTTACCACATCAGTATTATTATTATTTTTTTTTATTGGTTAAATATCTTTCTTTTTTCATTGAACTTTCACTTCTTAGGATACTATATTGATTTAGGGTACCAATTGGTCACAATGAATTTATTCTCTTACTTTATGATATATATATATATATATATACTGTCACGGTTGTCAAGGGAAACTAAACACGCAGACAAGTCACAGACACACAGAATTGCAATACCGGTCCTTAGAATGGCAGGGCTATGCAAAGAGATAGACTAGTCAGGGTACAAGCCGAGGTCAAGGATCAGAGAAGACAGAGTAAATGTAAGACAAGCCAAAGTTCGGTTACCAAATGATCCAGACACAGCATAACGCGCTATTGGGCTAATAAAGACCACAACAGGGCAAGGAGATATGGGAGTGGTAAGTCTACATATGCTTAGGGCAATTCTGATTGGCTAACTTCCAATCAGAATTGATTACAACACGTGGAAGGTATTTAGAACCTCCACTATGAGCAGTGACATCACTATTGTGCACCGAGTCAGGTGGCTGACTCGGGCGCCTATTTAGAGAACGCTGCATGTGAGCGTGCAGCGTCAGAAACCCTGCCTGTGGGCGGCGGGTAGGTGTCAGACCACCAATCACGGTGGGCGGCAAAGAGAGATCGGCAAAGAGACAGGTGAGGCTACCGCGAGCAGCGCGCAGCCCGCAGAACCAGCCGCAGAATCCTACATGACAACATCACGGAGCTGGTGGATGTTAGAGACCTTGCGCTCCCCCTACTTCCATTTGAGGATGCCCCACAGATGCTCAATAGGGTTTAAGTCTGGAGACATGCTTGGCCAGTCCATCACCTTTACCTTCAGCTTCTTTAGCAAGGCAGTTGTTGTCTTGGAGGTGTGTTTGGGGTCGTTATCATGTTGGAATACTGCCCTCGGCAAAGTCTCCGAAGGGAGGGGATCATGCTCTGCTTCAGTATGTCACAGTACATGTTGGCATTCATGGCTCCCTCAATGAACTGTAGCTCCCCAGTGCCGGCAGCACTCATGCAGGCACAGATCATGACACTCCCACCACCATGCTTGACTGTAGGCAAGACACACTTGTCTTTGAACTCCTCACCTGGTTGCCGACACACACGCTTGACACCAATCTGAACCAAATAAGTTTATCTTGGTCTCATCGGATGCCAAGACATGGTTCCAATAATACTTCAACCTCTGCAGCAATGCTGGCAGCACTCATATGTCTATTTCCCAAAGACAACCTCTGGATATGACGAGTAGCACATGCACTCAACTTCTTTGGTCGTCCATGGCGAAGCCTGTTCTGCGTGGAACCTGTCCTGTGAAACCGCTGTATGGTCTTGCCCACCGTGCTGCAGCTCAGTTTCAGGGTCTTTTTTTCAGATCCTCAGAGAGTTCTTTGCCATGAAGTGCCATGTTGAACTTCCAGTGACCAGTATGAGAGACTGTGAGAGCTGTAACACCAAATTTACCACACCTGCTATCCATTCACACCTGAGACCTTGTAACTGTCACGATTCGGGGAACCAAACACGCTGGCACACACACACACAAAAGGTGCCGTACCGGACCTTAGAGTGGCCGGGCTAAGCACACACAGAATAGTCAGGAGACAAGCCGAGTAAAGGGGAACCAGAAGACAGAATAACGTGAAACGAGCCGAGGTCAAAGGGTAGGAGAAAGTCACAGAGTCAGATAAACAAGCCAGAGAGTACGTAACCAGAAGAACAAGGTAAATCGCAATACTAGCAAGCAAAGACCACAACAGGGCAGGGAGGAACAGGAAAGGTAAGTATTTAAACCATCAGGTTAATTCTGATTGGATAATTTCCAATCAGAATTAACAATCACACGTGGGAGATATCTAGACCTCCCACTGTGATTGAGGCACTGTGCCTTTAACGCCGGGTCAGGTGACTGACCCCGGCGTGTATAAACCTGGGCGGTCTCCCAGCGTGCAGCGTCATGCATGCTGCCGCTGGGGGACGTGGAGGGAACGGCGGGCGGCATCCGAGGCTGGAAGGATGCCGCTCGCCGTACCCACGAGGCAGGAGGGGACCGCGGACGGCTGGAGGGTGAGTACTGCGAGCGGAGTGCAGCCTCCCCTCGCAGCCGCCCGCGGGAGCCTGACATTACCCCCCCCCTCGAAGACCGCCCAGGGGGTGGGAAGCGGAAGGCTTCAAAGGAAAGCGGGCATGAAAGGAGCGGACCAAAGAGGGAGCGTGCACATCGGAGCTTGAAACCCAGGACCGCTCCTCAGGGCCGTACCCCTTCCAGTCCACCAAATATTGCAGCCGACCCCTAGAAACACGAGAGTCGAGAAGGGCAGCCACCTCGTACACGTCGTCAGAGACAGCTCGAGGGGAAACGGGCCGCCCGAGGGGACGAGAGAACCGGTTACACAGCAAGGGCTTCAAAAGCGAGACATGAAACGTGTTCGGGACACGCATGGAAGGAGGCAGATCAAGGGAGTAGGAAACGGGGTTAACCCTACGTAACACCTTGAAGGGACCAAGAAACCTGGGGGCAAATTTCATCGAGGGAACCTTGAGACGGAGGTTCTGGGAGGACAACCATACCCTATCACCCGGAAGATAAGAAGGGGCCGCAACCCTACGGCGATCAGCAAACTTTTTCTGAGCAGCTGCTGAACGAGACAGCGCAACATGGACCTGATCCCACGTCTTCCGCAAAGAGGCGAGGTGCTGGTCCAAGGCGGGCATTCCCTTGTCGGAGAACGCACCGGGAAGGACAGAAGTTCAAAACCCATAAGCAACCTCAAAAGGACTTAAGCCAGTAGACGAATGACACACCGTATTCCTGGCAAATTCAGCCCACGGAAGAAGGCGAGACCAGTCATCCTGGTGCGCATTAGTGAAGCAGCGCAAATACAATTCCACAGACTGATTAGCACGTTCGGCCGGACCATTAGATTGCGGGTGATAGGAGGAAGAGAACGACAAGGAGACCCCCATCTCAGCACAAAAGCCCCTCCAGAACCGAGAGACAAATTGAGGGCCCCTGTCAGATACGATATCCTGGGGTACACACACACACACACAAAAGGTGCCGTACCGGACCTTAGAGTGGCCGGGCTAAGCACACACAGAATAGTCAGGAGACAAGCCCAGTAAAGGGGAACCAGAAGACAGAATAACGTGAAACGAGCCGAGGTCAAAGGGTAGGAGAAAGTCACAGAGTCAGATAAACAAGCCAGAGAGTACGTAACCAGAAGCACAAGGTAAATCGCAATACTAGCAAGCAAAGACCACAACAGGGCAGGGAGGAACAGGAAAGGTAAGTATTTAAACCATCAGGTTAATTCTGATTGGATAATTTCCAATCAGAATTAACAATCACACGTGGGAGATATTTAGACCTCCCACTGTGATTGAGGCACTGTGCCTTTAACGCCGGGTCAGGTGACTGACCCCGGCGTGTATAAACCTGGGCGGTCTCCCAGCGTGCAGCGTCATGCATGCTGCCGCTGGGGGACGTGGAGGGAACGGCGGGCGGCATCCGAGGCTGGAAGGATGCCGCTCGCCGTACCCACGAGGCGGAGGGGACCGCGGACGGCTGGAGGGTGAGTACTGCAAGCGGAGTGCAGCCTCCCCTCGCAGCCGCCCGCGGGAGCCTGACAGTAACACTAATGCATCACATGACACCGGGGAAGGAAAATGGCTAATTGGGCCCAATTTGGACATTTTCACTTAGGGATGTAATCACTTTTGTTACCAACGGTTTAGACGTTAATGGCTGTGTGTTGAGTTATTTTGAAGGGACAGCAAATGTACACTGTTATACAAGCTGTACACTTACTACTTTACATTGTAACAGAGTGTAATTTCTTCAGTGTTGTCACATGAAAAAATATAATAAAATATTTACAAAAATGTGAGTGTGGTACTCACTTTTGCAAGATACTGTATATACGATCATTGTTTCAACCCTCCTGGGTCTTTATCAAGATATCTTGATAAAGACTCAGAAGTGACAATACATTGATCGTTTAAATACACTTATTTAAAAAATCCCAGAGAGTGCTCATGTTTCGTCTTTTCTACATATTGGTGCTGGGAAGCAGCCGAGTGGCTACTTTTCCATTTGTTTGGATCTATGGATTATTGGTGTAGGGTCAGTGCCAGAGCTTGCACTTGTATGTTATTTGAATGTTATTTGTTTTCATTTATTCTCTCCCTTTGATTTTTGTTCCCTCTTTCTTGGGATATTTTTAGCAATTAGATGCATAGATGGTGACTGGATGGAACGTAAAGATGCCAGAGTGTGGAATTAAGTTAATGCAGAATCACGTCAGACGCCAATACTGGAAGTGATGAATGAGGAAACGGACACCCAAATAAGCATGCAGAAGGGAGAAAAAAAGTGCACCAAGTTCCCTATAAAGATGAGGAACTTATCGACCAACAAATTATGTACTTTGAAGAAGACCTTTAATTGGTCAAAATGTAATCAGTGTTATTTGTTTTATATTTTTTGTTTTGTTTCATTTATTTATATGAAAAACTGAGGAAATTTCTTATGCATATCTGCTGGGGGAGAATCCAGAAAACTGCAGAAGAGATACCGGATTGGAGCCTTACAAGTCTGAGCCTACTATACGTGGCTCAGCAACATGTGAGTTGGATAACTATATAAATACATGATTTTCTTTACTATAAATGTGTAATGTACTACACTATGGTCTGTTTTTACATTTCTTTATGTCAGGCTATATCCAAATCCTAAGGTATATGGAAAGGAAAAGGATAAGTGCTGGATAACTAGACCAAGGCACAAAGTAGGCAGTGTATCTGAAGAACCCCTAGAAAAGTAGATTGGAAGACAAATAAAAGGTAGCAGTGTCTTAGTAACCACGCAAAGAAAATAAAATACAAGAAATGGGACAATAAACAAAATATAAGAAAATATAATAAACAAATATATTAAAGATAGCAATGAGCCAAAAATGTATCCTTTTCTTATCAATAGGGTCAGACAGAGCTTCTTCTTCTTAAGGTATGGATTTGTATAAACATGTATAGGGAGACAAAAACACAAGAAACCTCCAATAGTGTAACGTGTCAATTTAAATGGAGCACAGAAAACACAAAGAAGTGATTGCCAACTCACATTTTATAGAGCTAGGACCAGCTCTAGTAATAACAGCTATCACTTCACAGGATTTTTAATATCATCTACACTTATGCCTATATTTACCAAATCTGTATTTATGAGTTTTGAAAAATTTAATTATATGTTAAAATCTACAACTCTTTATCCTGCAGCCTGATACCTCAAGTCTTAGCTCACTGTCAGATGTTGTTAGGAACCCCGTCCTTTCTACCTGGCAATCAGAATAGAGAAAGCATACAGACAATAGTTTTATGAAACAATGTTTGTATTTCCTACCTTACTCGCGTACAATGCTAGCTTTGTCTTTACCTTGTCTGAACTGTACTGTAATGTAATTCTACCGTGTCAGGACAGCCTCATGCTGTAGGCGCTTCACCTGCCGCATCAGGCTTGCATCCTGCTACCTCCCGGTTAGTTACTCCCCAGGCCATCGCTGTCGGTTCTCCCGGCTCCGATGCGCCAGCCGCTCAAGACCTAATTCACCAGATGTTGCCAGCTTTCATGGTCTCCCATTCCCGGTTCCCCTCGAGGATGACAATGTGCAAGGGCTTAGTCCATTCTGTCCTTCAAATAATAGGGTTTCCCAGAGACAGGCAACCCCAGCCAACCACATCCCTGCTTTATCACTAATGGAAGGGGCTCCCCCGATGTATTTTATGTTCAACCCATCCCAAGCTGCAACTCTAGTAACCTCTCTCCCCGACCCTGAGAAACAGCCCATGCCCTTCTTCCGGAGAGTTGCCCAGATTCGTAAGACATACTCAGCAGCCTGGCGTGATCTGTATAGTCTGTGTGAGATCAAGGCTGGGAATGCCTATTGGCCCATTATGGAAAGGAGTTTTAATGAAGCTCTCCTCACTACCGATATGGATTACCAGTCAGGTATTACATTCTGTGAACAGCTTCGGGCCTGGGCCCAAGATAAACTAGCTGACCAAGCCACTTGTATAAATGACATTATACAAGACAAACTCGAATCTGTGGAAAAGTACCATTCAAGGTTGACTCAAACTTTCTCCGATCTCGGATTAAGTGTATATAACAAAGCACATACCCAGATGTTATCCGCTGCCTTTGTGGCTGGCCTTAAGGAACCAATCAGGAAAGGCTTAGTGCTTTCTTGCCCCGAATACAGAGTTATTCCTTTGGACACTCTCTTACTAGTTGCAAAGGGCCTAGAATCTGCTCTACAGCCACCCCAAAGGAAAAGTAATCCTCTCATGTTTTCCATTTATAGCCCTGCTACCAGACCCGCCAAGGTGCCCCCAGGTTATCCCACGCTATCCACCCTGCCAGCCGCACAGGGGCAGCACATGACACCTAGGCCTCAGACCAGGGCATGTTTTAATTGTAACCAACCAGGCCATTTCTGGAGAGATTGCCCACACCCCAGGGTGCCTAGACAGCTGACCACTAGACCCCCTATGTATCCCAATGCCCCTGCAGCCACGTATGGTGGTCTCCAACCAGGTTACCCTCCACAGGTATATCCTTAGGCACATACATCGTATTACCCTCCTCAGGAATACGCCCAAGCTGTCTACCAACCCTCTCAATCTAATACTCACCCCCCACCCTGCAACTATGCTCACCCTTCCCCTGATAGTTCCGATACAGATGATTTCCAACAAGATGATCACCCAGCACCGAGTCATTATCGCTCTACACGTCAAACCCATCAGGCCAGCCACTCCACCACACCAGCACGTCATTACACTGACCCTGATCAATCTCATCTAGACCTTGTACAATAGGTAACCGGCAAACCTGTGTCTAACACCCCTGTCATGGCAGTGTCTACAGGGGACAAGGGGGGACCCCTAGCTACAGTTGTACTACCAGTTAAGGGTCATCCAACTACCTTCTTAGTTGACACAGGTGCAGCCCACAGTGTTCTCAGAGAACAAGACCTGCCTGACCTGACCCTTCTTATCTATCCGACACAGATGTTTCTTGTGTAGGTGTTGATGGTACCCCCAGAAACAACCCATTAACCAAGCTCTTGCGGGTTGTTTCTGACATCCTCTCTCGGTTTGTTGTCTCATCCACCTGTCCAATTAACCTCTTAGGAGCAGATGTTCTATCTCGTCTTAAAGCTTCTATCTCCTTTACTGCTGATGGCCAGGTTCAATTACTAACCCCCTTTCTCGCAAAGATACTTCCGTCCTTTGCTCTCTGCCCCTTCTATTACATATGACATCCCCCAACGAGGAAGTGAGGGTCCCAGACGCCCCTAGTGCCCTGGATAGGGTTCCAACTAAGCTTTGGTCTACGGGGCCAGATGACATTGGACGCCTACGAGTCCCACCTGTGGTGGTTACACTAATTAAAGGAGCTAATCCACCATGAAGACCATAGTACCCATTGAAACCTGCACAAGCTCTCGCCATCTCCAAACAAGTTGATAGCCTGTTGGCAAAAGGTGCACTAGTCAAGTGTGTATCTCAGTGTAACACCCCTCTGTTTCCAGTAAAGAAGAAAACTGAAAAAGGTCAACCAGACCAATACCGTATGGTCCAGGACCTCCGCGCTGTTAATGAGGTCATAAATCGTGATACTGCTGTTGTCCCTAATCCACATACACTGTTGTCACAGGTTCCTCCAACAGCTAAATTATTCACGGTGGTTGATCTTGCAAATGCCTTTTTCAGCGTGCCCTTGGATCCCTCTTGCTTTCATAAATGACCATCAACAGTATACATGGACTGTCATGCCTCAAGGTGCACAAAATTCCCCAACCCAATTCGCAAAAGCTATACTAGAACCCTGGCAGAAGTCCCACCCAGACGTGGTCCTGCTCCAGTATGTAGATGATTTACTTCTCTGTGCGGATGATTTTCCAACTGCTGAACAGAATTCCGTAGATCTCCTTTGTTTCCTCGCTGATGAAGGTTGTAAAGCCTCCAAGACAAAACTCCAGTGGTGCCGGCCCTCTGTGGTCTTCTTGGGACTTCTCCATGGGCCTTTCCCATGGCACCCGCCACCTAACGAGAAACAGGGTACTTGCCATTACAAATCTCTCCCTTCCGTCTAACCATCAGGCCCTTCATGCTTTCTTGGGCCTCATCACATACTGCAGGTCTTGGATCCCTGAGGCTTCTCAACTCATGCAACCTCTCTATGATGCTTTAAAGACTGAACCTTTTTCATTGTCCTCTACAGCCCGCACCTGTTACCATGCTCTTCAAAGAGCCATCTCCTCCACCCCTGCGTTGGGCCTACCTAACTACCAACTACCGTTCAATCTTTTCGTCTCAGAAAAGATGGGCCATCTGCAATCCTGAATCAAGTCCAGCCAAAGCATCTTTCATGTCAAAGACATCTCCGCCTTCAAACCTATCTCCTCTTGCCTGATAACATTTCTTTACAATGATGTTACTCCTTGAATCCGGCCACTTTTCTGCCACTTCCCAAGGGGGAAGTGCCGCAATACTGGTACAGCCTGGACATAAATCCTTATGTCCACATGGAACTTCAAGTAGAAAAGCCCAAGTTCCACATGATGAACAACCCGAGACCCAATTACATTGCACCCTGTGGTTCAGGGACACCCCAGGTCCTGACCCATACTATGAAGAAGAATTATTCAACCTGGTGGAAATATACATCACACTGACAGACCTGTTCCGTGACTCCAAAGGAAACATTGTTATCTTAGTCTACCTGCCTATGGAGGTATCACACTTATATCACCATTGGGAGGTAGCTGTTCCTCATCTCTCTTTCACCAAGTCTCCAGATCTCTCATGGAAAGAACTTGGCCCATTGGCCAAGACATGGAGTACTGCAACTCAAGAACAACTCACAGTGAGGGGGGGGTCACTAAAAGGACCATAAATTGCAAAACTGTCAGTTACCCTCAATATCACACAAAGATATGTGAAGATATTCCTCCCACAGAACAAGACCCGGACGCCCCTCATGATTGCTTTGAACAGATGAAAATGGAAACAACCCATCTCCCAACAGTGCACGAGGCTGCTCTACCTGACCCTGACTACACTCTGTTTGTGGATGGTTCTAGATTCGCAGATGCGCAGGGACAATATCATACCGGATATGGAGTCACCACAGAGGACCAAATACTCCAAGCATCTGCACTCCCATCATCTAAGTCAGCACAAGAAGCCGAACTAATAGCTCTTACGGTGGCATGAAAGATGTCTGAAGGGAAGCGTGTTAATATTTACACAGACTCAAGGTATGCCCGGGCGTGGCACACGACTTTGGCTTAATCTGGAAAACCAGGGGGTTCCTTACAGCAACAGGTACTCCTGTGAAACATGGCGCAGCTATCAAAGAATTGATGGATGCCTTACTACTTCCTGAAGAGGTGGCCATACTGAAGGTAAAGGCCCACGGGAGACTAAATTCAGAAGAAGCACGTGGCAACCATTTAGCCGACCAGGCCGCTAAGGATGTTGCACACCAGTGTCGGGAAGTGGACAGAAGAGTGTCCGTCGAAAAGACTCCTATTTACACTATGCAAACCCTACCCACCGATCTCAAGCTCCTAAGAGAACAACAGGCTGCCGCCACCCCACAAGAAAAGCAAAGCTGGAAAGACAAAGGAGCAACCTTCCAGAATGACGTATACACAATTAATCTCAAATTCTGCCTACCCAAGAATATGTATCCAGCTGTCGTTCAGTGGGCCCATGAACCAGCTCACTTATCTAAGCACCTCATGAATTCTTTGATTGATAAATATTTTGAAACACCCGGAATCACCACCTTGACACGAAATTACTGCAGATCCTGCACCATCTGCGCCAGATGTAATCCAGGGGAAATAATCAAAGCTGCACCAAACCATTTGGCCAAGCCACAGTACCCTTTCCAAAGGATCCAAATTGATCATATCCAAATGCCAAAGAGTGGCCCGTATGAATACGCACTGGTCATAGTGGATATGTTTTCAGGATGGCCAGAAGCTTTTCCGGTCGCTAATCTCACTGCAAAGACCACAGCAAAGCGCCTACTTACCGAAATCATCTGCAGATACGGAGTTCCCAAAGTAATTGAAAGTGACCAGGGTACATCCTTCACCGCGTTGATAACCAAGGAGATCTGGGCAGCACTGGGGTGACCCTTGCATTCCACACACCCTATCACCCACAGAGTAGTGGTAAGGTAGAACGCATGAATGGCACTCTGAAAGCCAGAATGCTTAAAATGTCCCAAGAAACTAACCTACCCTGGCCGGAGATTCTTTTCATGGCACTGTTTAGTGTAAGGTACACCCCAAGAGGGAAGCTTAGCTTATCCCCTTACAAAATCTTATTTGGGACAGCACCCAGGTTAGGCTGTTACTTTCCTTTAGCAACTTCAACTTCAGTCAGATGCAATGGTAGATTATATAACTGCACTCTCTCATGCCTTGACCAAAATCCATGCAAAGGTGTTTTCTTCTATTCCAGATCCATAGTCAAATACAGGCACGCATAAGTTACTTACTGGTGACTGGGTCATAGTCAAGAAGTTCCTAAGAAAACACACTCTTGAGCCAAGGTTCGATGGTCCATTCCAAGTCCTATTGACTACATCTACCTCTGTAAAGTTGGCCGGAGGTAGATTCCACCAAATCATGAGCTTCCTGTGCCTATTTCTGCTGATAGGCCTATTAAAGGCCCAACAAGTTGCTATTACCAAAGACAATCATGTTTACACATTTTGGTATTATTCTTCAAACACACACGTAGATACTTTTACCTTTGATTACTGTGATATTGTCTCTTGTACTTTTCCACAATCACAACTGTAACAGAATCTTCCGTTAATGGACGCTTCCTAGCTTGCGCCCAGGGCCACAAGCACCGCACCGGACACCACCGCAGACTCCACAACCACCGTAGCTTAACTGGAGTCTCGCCATCTTCCGTCCACCCTGGATCAGCTTCTGTCCTCCAGGACCGTGTGGGGAAAGACCTCTCCTGCAGGAGAGCGTATCAGGAACAAGCTCTTAAAAGAGCTAAGTGATTAAAGCTCAAGGGAGTATGCAGAGCATAGCAATCCCCAGTGTGATATAGCAGGTCTCTCCAATAACGAGACAAGGCTACATATTGAGGTTCAAGAAGATCTGACTGTACTGGCACATACAGCCTCTTTTATTCACATTTTACAAATATAGTACTGCTCACAGGGTTTTGAAGAACAACCAATCAACACATTACAAAACAGCTAACACTCCCATTCATTACATCAGAAATCCTCCCCTCTGCTTGTGATACAATTATCTCAACACAATAGACTAACTTAATTATCACAGGCAGAAAAATACAGTATTATAAAACATATCACAGGGACCCCAAAACATGCAATAACCCCATAAAAATATATATATATATCCTCGGAACAGGGGGATCTGGGTGAACCACATATCCAAAATTCCGTTCAGTAGTTTGGAAGATATGGTTTAATGCAGATTCCGCCGAACATATACAGGCTATATGAAAAATAATTACTGTTAAATGTGTCCCCTGTTCTGTAGTTTAAAACTACTGAACGATGTCTTTGTGCACCAAATACCGGCCAGATGGCACCGTGTAGAAAAGTCAAAACAGTGTCTGTGAGTTAAAATGGCTGCCATCCATTGTTCTCACCATGTGCTTCATCCATTGTTCTCACCATGTGCCTCTGATACATGAAATGGTGGCCACCCAGTAACTCCCCAGTATGTCGCCAGATGGTTCTTAAAGGGCCAGCATCAGCATAATAAAATACAGTATGCCCAAATCAGTTCCTTAAAGGGAAATACATCCCAGGGCCATAGTTGCAGGGCAGGAGGCTTGCAAGCAGGCCTCTCCAGGACCAAGTGGCGAAGGGCACTTCGTCACAACAACACTCAGCAATATACAAAGACATACCAAATTAAAAGGACCCATATATTTGTGTGACAGGTGACCGTTGGGGACATCACTGTAGTACCTGGAAACCGGTGGGTTGGAATACGGGCCGACCATGGGGCTACAGACCACAAAGTGCCTTAGATAGAGTTGACAGATATGGGAAACCCTTGTTATACAGAATGACCTTGTGCAAGCCAACGGGGTGTACCCCAATGAAGCTAACCTTAAACATAGAACATCCCAGCCCAGGAGACGCTGGGGAATACATAATGGTAATGTAATGGAAAGGAGGTGGCTCATATAACAAGTTGGGGACCTTCTATTTACAAGACATGCTTACATCACCTGACTGGGTAGACTCCACACACATGACCATTAACCCTCTAAAACCACACATTAAAACCCTTAAAGACATGGTAGCCATTGCCAATCCCACATTTGAAGACACTATGGCTGTGGAGCCCGGATTTTCAGATACTAATCTATGGCTTGAATGGATGAGGTATAATGCTAATTCACACAACAAAACTAACTGTTATGCTTGTGGTGGGGCCAGGCCCTATCTGGGTACAGTGCTTTTAAATCTAACCCCCGATGTTGAGATGTGTTTCTTAAGCCTCTATGCGCAGACAGCAGTAAACTCATCAGTGTGTGAGTCATGGAAAAAGGTTTACCCAATAACCCAAGGGAATACCAAGCCACCTGATGGAATCACCGTGTACCCAGGTAACTACACTTGCTATACAATACATGGAGCCACAGGTAAATTTGTAGGTAAATTCCCTTCTGGCTACTGTACCACTTATCGAGAACCTCCCACTGCCCTATTAGTAAATCAAGTTAAGTCCGTGGGAGACATTTATTGGCTATGTGGTGACATGCAGCTTAGATCAAAAATGACTGGCCAATGGTGGGGAGAATGTGCTCTGACCAAAGTTATCATGCCCATACATATAATTTCTGATAACCACCAAGGCCCACACGATTCACCACATACGTATCTTAGAGTAAAAAGAGAAACCCCCCATTCAAGGTAGTTTCGACCCACACATATATATCGATACCACTGGAGTACCAAGGGGGGAACCAAATGAGTTCAAGGCCAGAGATGAAGTGGCGGCGGGATTCAAATCCTTGATCCCACTCATCACCGCTAACAAGAATGTTAACTGGATCAATTATATCTTCTATAACCAGCAACGATTTGTCATGGCAGAACAATTACAGACTACCTCCCAAATGACATTTCAGAATCGAATGGCCTTAGACATGATCCTAGCAGAAAAGGGGGGCATGTGTAAAATACTCCCCGATACTATGACATGCTGTACCTTCATCCCAGACAACACAGGCCCAGGGTCAGTTAGTAGTTGTCTCTTTCTTTCTCTCTCTCTCTCTCTTTTGTAAATAGTCATTTTAAGGGGGGACTGTTGTGGACAAAAATATTAACCCAACCCATGTTAGTAAAATGCCTATTTACTCAACATAACTATAATCAGCATTATTCAACTTTCTATGTGATTTACCTAAAATGGCCGCTAGGGAGTTTCCCTGTGACATTGACTAACACCTTCATTAACAAAATGGCGCTGGAATCTGGGGGAGACCTCCAAGATACCAGTGACATCATACCCGGTAGGCAGAGCACTAAATGAACCACTTAACACCTAACCAATTATTGATGTATTATTCCATGTTATCTCTGACAATGCATATGATGTAATTTTGCTTTATAAGGGACATGCCGTCCCCCCAGAATAAACATTCCTCAAGTTTTTCATTAACCAGAAGCCTGTGTCTGGTGTGAATTACTTTAGGAGCGTGCACGCACTACTTCTTTAATTTGGCCGGGGGCAGATACGCAAGATAATCGATTTATTGATTGATTCCACATCATTGCTAAATCTTTAATATGATTTTAAAATAAAACAGAGCTTCTCAAAAAGGTTAATACAAGGTCTTTTAGATTACTAGCTCCTTTGAGCAGGGCCCTCTTCATCTACTGTTCCCACATGCCAGACATGTTTTGTTAGAATTATCTTGTTTTACATATTGTACAGCACTGCAGAATAAGTTGGCGCTATATAAATAAATGTGATAGTAAAGGTGATTTTCAATGTTAACTGTGGAAATAGTCTAAACAAGTGAGTCAAAAGACAAGACTTTATTAACTTTGGAACAGACAAATGAGTTTAAAATTGAATTAATTCTTCCTCTAAGCAAAGTGCATGTGTCATGTATAAGAATAATGTACAGACATAAAAATTGAAGGCGAAAATTAGGAGCTAGAGTGACATTGTACTGATATGTACCTGGCATAGTACCAAAATATTCATACTTCAATATTATTATTATTAATAATATTTATAAAGCACCAAGTTCCTCAGTGCTGTAAAATGGGTGGACTAACAGACATGTATTTGTAACCAGACAAGTTGGACACAGAGGAACAGAGGGTGAGGGTTCTGCTCAATGAGCTTCCATGCTAGAGGGAGTGGGGTAAAGTGACACAAAAGCTAAGGGTTGGGTAGAAAAGTAGGTTGCTAGGATAGTATTCACTGAGGGCTAAGTGTTGTTTTGATGACAGCTGCAGGAGAGGAATCAGGGTGCGAGGAGGGAAATACACTTAGTCATGAACATCAACAGTTATGGGCAAATTAAGCAGACTTCAAAGTAATAGCAATTAATGTATAATCTATAACAATTCACATACTATGAGACAAAAATGCAATTTAGATCATCAGTGCCAGCATACATTAAAAAATTGCATGCATACGCATATTCTTTATCAGTTAGAGTTTTTATTTAAATTTCTCTGAAAGACTACAATAGGCAACTGATATGACATCATAAAAACACAATAGGTTATTTGGGCAAGATACACTAGGTGAGCAAAGGGCATCTCTCATACTGGCACATTACACATTAGAAAAATGTATGTTAATGCATTTTTCAGTGATTTCAAAATTAACCATAATAATATTAGACAGAAACATGGCACTAAGAAGACTTTTTAGCATTACCTCATACTTGGAAAAAAAAAATCATAAAGAAGATATATTCACTTGTGCATTACAGAGCAGACGGGGGAAGGAGGACAGGGAGGGAAAGGGAGGGGAGGGGTGATTAAGGAAACATTTTCCATTGGCAATAACAATTCATTTACAGTTTTCATGTGACCTCGTGTCCTCACGTCACATTAGTTAACATTAATAAACATTTGCAAATTTTAACTGCACCACTCATTTTAGAATAACAAACTGTACATGTGTCTAACATAATAGTTGTCATGATGCAGCCAGCAGAGCTAATAAAATCAATTCTACAAATATATAGTCAGTGTATTATTTACTCAAAATTAAATTAAAACAAACAAACCATGAAATGATGAAATAAAAATAAGCTTATAAAAGGGAACATAAATAAAATAAAAACCTTTTTCCAGTAACACTTCCTGCTATTGAGGCTCTGACAGGAGGACATGCTTAGAGGTGGAGAGGTGTGGCTCCTGGTTTGAGGGCAGCAGAGTGATCTGGAAGGACCTTTGGGGAGGAGCGCAGAGCATGCCGGAGACTCTATGGTGGAAGTTGAAGATGGTGCTGTGGATGAGCCCACCAAGACAATCAGCAATTCGGCAAATGAAGGAATTCAAGTGCTTAGCCAGCTGCCTCCTCAATGCACTCACTCCAGCCTGGTGCCATCTGCAGTTTAATTAACTGTAGTGACACAAACATGGAATGAATCGCATTTTGCGGCATATGGGGCTGCGTAGCTCTATGGGGTGTGCTGGAACAACAAATCCTAAACATGGAGGCTCCAGCTTGCAACTTGCAGGACATAAAGGATCTGCTGCTAATGTCTTGGTGCCATATACCACATCAGAGGTGTCCATGCCTTGATGCATCAGAGTTGTTTTGGCAGCAGGAGGAGGAGCTATATGGACAGTATATATATGTTTATGAATACCAATCAAAGAATACCTCCTTTTACAGAGGAATGTGTATAACAGAGTGTTTATAAACAGATACAGTGATTTCCAAGCTGCTCAATACACTTATGTGGAAGTATCCTCTATTCCACGAAACAAACTTAGAATTATTAGTGCGGTGTAAGTGACAAAAGACTTATACCAGTAAGTGGAGCGCTTTAACACATATAGCTTACCAAATGGTTTCTCATTCAATAAAACAGTATGAGGTGCATGTCAAGGAAAAAAAATATAAAAGATACAATATAGTGCAGACGGTTTTAAAATAATAATACAATAATAAAATATTAGTGGTGGTGTCTTAATAAATGGAACACTCACATTTTAAGGAGCCTGTATGTAAGAACACTGGCTCCGTATTTTGGCTTGTGTGCTTTTTAGGGTAGCACTGCCCGTCTCCTTCGATGTGGGGTATTTCTCAAAGACAAAAAATAGGAGAAGCAGACCAATGTGTAGATGGTGTTTGTAAAACACAATATTTATAGAAATAAGTGGTGTGCTCACCTGGTCCTGAGCCTGTGGGTCCCGGCTATAGGTATATGGGTATTGTGCCAATTTTAATGGGGATGGCACTACCCATGGGAAGATACTTTTGAGGTTTCCAAAAAAGGACTTAAAAGGATCTTAAATGAAAATAAATTTATTCAAGTATAAAACAAAATAAAAACAATGATTATAAAAAGTCCTTTAAAAAAGTATATATATGTTTGAATATAAAACCATGGCAATGAAGGCATTCTCTTCTCCTTATTGATTAGAATATCATAATAATAATAATCTCTCTTTTTTTTAATTGCAAGGGTGGAACCACCAAAAAAAAACAAAAAAACACACACAGAAATTCAAAGTTGTATTCCCTACACTATAGTTCCTCATGCCTCCCCCCCGATTCCAGCTCTTTTGTCCCTCAGCGCTGTGTTGGCACTCCACCTCCTCCACATCATACGACAGAGGTGGGGTTAATGAGCATGTGTGTCAAGCACCGCCCATTAAGCCCATTCAATACTTTTCTGCAAGGATTTTACGGGCGCTAGATGTCCTCGTGCAGAGCGTGAGGACGTCCAGAGTCAGTTAAGTGACCAACAGTCACCTGGCAAGCAGGAAGTGACTCTAGTGGCTGTCTGATTGACAGCCACTAGAGGCTGTCTTAGTCCTACAATGTCATTATTACAGTTTCTCAGAAACTGCAATGATTTACAGTGGGACTGGGACACTGCACCCAGATCACTAAAATGACATGAAGTGGTCTGGGTGCCTATAGTGTCACTTTAAATCAAAGGTGAATAACGTTTCATCCATGAATAATATCACACAGCACGTCAATGTTTTGGACCTGACCTGAACTTGTGGCCCTTTCTCGCCATGACTGCTGCAGTCCACTTCTCTTACGTGCTCCCACCTTGCCCTGTTACAGTTTATAATGAATGCAGATGCTCATCTTTCTATCTGCTCGCACCTCCCACGCCTCCGCCTCTCTGTCAGTCCCTGCATAGGCTTCCTGTAAGATATAGGGCTCAATTTAAAATTCTGGTTCTTGCTCTATCTAATGCAGCTCCAACATATCTATCCTCTCTAATACACAAGTATGTCCCATCTGCCGAAAAACTACATCTATCCTATGTTCATACTCCCACTTCTAATGCTCGTCTTCAAGACTTCTCTAATGCTCGCCTTCAAGACCGTTTCTGTGGAACTTCCTTCCTTTCTTCGTTAGACGTTCATCCAGTCTCCACTTCAAAAATTATCACTGAAAACGTACTTCTTGAACTCACTTATTAAAAAATAATTTTAAAAAGCCCCACTAAATCTTCAGTGAATACTATTCAACCAACCTAGTTTTTTACACCTACCCTTGTGTCAATTTACCCCACTCCCTCTAGCATGTAAGCTCACTGAGCAGGGCCCTCAACTGCTCTGTTCCTGTGCGTCTAACTCGTCTGGTTACAATTACATGTTTGTTAGTCCACCCATTGTACAGCGTTACGGAATTTGTAGGCGCTATTTAAATAATAATAATAATTAGACATGCAAACCTATATTCCTAATGCTATAGTATTCCTGTCTCTAGATCTATATCGGCTCTACCGATTTGCAATAAACATTTTAGAAAATAAAACTTTTACTTAAATTTTTACAATGCAGGTAGTTTCTTCCCCTTCCACCATGCCTCCTCCATGATGGTCTAGTCCAGGGGTAGGCAATCTTTTAGCAGCACTATGCCGAAATTCGATTGTGATGTCCCGTAGCGTGTCGGTCCTGTTTCTTTAAATTGAGGTGTGCCTGTTGCCATATTCTGCTTGTGTTATTTATACTGCAGTTGCTTTGTATCGTTGTTTTTGTGCGTATATGAGCCACTATATTGTATATGTTCATTAATAGTTTGTGGTATCATGTATAATACCTATGAATTTGGGCTGTGTATGAGGGCTGCTTGTGGAATTGTGTGTAGATGGATATGTCACATTGTGTATTTGGTAGTGTGTGTATGTGTGGGGCTGTTTGGGGTATTGCATGTGAGAGGCTGCATGTGGTGTTGTGTGCATGTATGTGGATTGTTGGTGGTGTTGTGTTTGTGCGGACTGTGTGTGTGTTTGTATTATTTGTATGAGGGGAGGGTTATTCTGCAGCTCTGAGGCTTCCCTGGGTTTTAGTGGGGACCAGGCTGGCCAGGTACAGTTCAAGGACAGAAGCTGCAACAGGAAGCTGTGGGCTGCTCTACTCCAGTGTGGATTCCACTGAGATCACTTCCTCTACGTGCTGCAATGCATAAATGGAGGATTGTCCTTCACCACCTTTTCATATTAGCAGATATCTGAAGTTTCACTGGGACTCCTGACAGGCCAGAGCCTGTTTGGCTCTTGTAGCCTTGAGTGCCGTGCAAAGACACCTTGAGTGCCGTGAATGGCACTAGTGCTGTAGGTTGCATACCCCTGGTCTAGTCCAATGTTTCTCACTGCAGATCTAATGCACATGGGTTGTAAGCTTTCCCATGCTCTCTCATAGGAAAGCATTGAGTTGATACTTTCCTATGGGGACTTCTGGATTAGGTGACTGAGTTTTACTTGGCCACTGCCTCGGAAGAACATCTAGTGGCAGTCATACTGATGCCACAAGAAATGGACTTAGGTGACTATAATGTCCCTTTAAGCTCAATGTATCTGCCTTTGTTTTTTGGGGGAAGGGAGGAGCACTGGGAGCCTTAGAATTCTATGACTACTGGCAGGGCCGTTGCAAGGATTCTTGCCGCCCAAGGCAACAATACATTTTGACGCCCCCTCATGAATGCAATTACATTCCCTCAGAGGTTTATTCACTAAACTCTGATTTACACTAAAGAGACATTTAGGGAAAGAGGCGCACTGAGTAGATATTAAAGGGAAACTATAGTGCCAGGAAAACAAACTTGTCAAGCGGCAGGGGTTAAAACCCCTTCTGTCACTTACCTGGGTCCAGCACCAATGTCTTTTGTGCTGGTATGGGTCCACCTTCGCTCCTCAATGGCCACGCTCGCAGTGGTATTTCCATGACTGGACGTCCCCGTGCATAGCCACTAGAGAAGTTAACCCAGAACGGTAATTATTGTAGTTTCTTAAAAATTGCAATAATTACCTTTGCAGTGTCATTTACACACTCTCACTGGCATACACACTTACACATTCTAACTAACTTACACACTCTAACACATACACATTCTCACTGACCTACACATTGTCACTTGCACACTCTCACTGACATGCACAGTGCCACTTGCACACTCTCACTAATACTCACACTCTAACTTACACACTCTAACACCACACAGTGTCACTTACACATACTCACTAAAAGTGTCACTTGCACACCCTCACTAACACACACACACAGAGTCACTTACACACTGACACTCAAACACAAACTCACTCACTCACAAACCACGTTACATAAAGTCACACTTTATTTACACACATAAACACACCAATTTAACACACACCCCCAATTACAAACATTCATACTATAAACAATCCCCCATGCCATACCTGGGTGCTGTGAAGATGAGAAGAGTCCAGGCACCAGGATCCAGGATGTTGTTCCTTCTTTCTCCTGGGGGAGCAGGAGAGCCGTGCACTGTGAGCACAGGCTACTTCCTGCTCCCTTCACAGTGCTTCCGGTGTTCACAGGCAGGGGGCAGCCAGGATAGCCGGTCATATCCCGGCTTCCCCTGTCTGCAGGAAGCACAGTACTCTGCTCGGGCTACATCAAACCCCACTGCCCGAGCAGGTAATTGGCTGCAGAGGGAGCCCAGCAGCTGAATGGCTGTGCTGGGAGGTGGCTAAGGAGCCGCTCGCCCAGCACAGCATCCCCAGACAGCTACAGCAGGGTAGCCCACCAGGAAACTTCTCGGTGGGCGCCCCCCCAGAGGCCAGAACCCAGGCGAATGCCTTATTCGCCTTAATGGTAGTGCCGGCCCTGACTACAGGCACCTGACATGTAATTCTAGCCCTGAACACATTTTTACAAAGTTAAGTGAGACTCATGGCTAGGCTATTGCAATGTGGACGTTTTCAGTAAGGTGAATTGTTATTAGTGGCAACCTGTTAAATCTTTCCAACAAGGTAGGAAATATATTAGTGTACTTAGTTACTACTAACTGCTAGCTCTTGTTAGTGTTAGCTTGCAGCTGCTGTACTAATAAGGTTGTAAAAGAGTACTCAGAGTCTTGTTATTAGCAGATATCACACATTGTATCTAAGCAACTCATACCCTGGAGTTCATTGGTCAAACTACTTACCACTGGACAAATTTCATGGCCAAGTTTACCAAAAGTGGCTGCTATGAGGCTTTTGAGTATTTATCATGCCCCTGCAGTCTCACTGCTCAATTCTCTGCCATCTAGGAGTTAAATCACGTTTGTTTCTATTTATGCAGATATGACACAGCCTGCATGAAAACAAAATTGTTACATTTTCAGTCAGATGTAACTTACTTTAAAAGTTTGTATCTCATGCTCTGTAAATTGAATTTTAATTACATACAGGAGGCTCCTGTAGGGTCTAGCAAGCTATTTACAGAGCAGGAGATAAGACATTCTAAATTAAACAGAATTTGCAATCAAGGAAGTGTAAACAGTAGATGACTCTATACAGGAAGTGTTTAGGAAGGCTGTATAAGTCACATGCTGAGAAGTGTGACTAGGGCTGTATAAGCAAATTGATTTAACTCCTAAATGGCAGGGAATTGAGCAGTGAGATTGCAGGGGCATTAGCTACACATCAAAACTGCTTCATTAAACTACAGTTATTTTAGTGACTATAGTGTCCATTTAAGGGAGAAAAATGTCTCTTCATAGTGGCAGAACTGCATTATTTAAATTACATTATTATACATTAAACATAAAACATTGAGTCTATTAACAGGAAGAAATCACACATTGTATCTATGCAATACTGAAGAAGTTAATGTCTAACGATTCATATTATGAATAAATGAAAATGCAACATAATATCCGGGCTACAAACACATGGGTGAGTAACAAGGAAAATATTTGCTATTCCAACCAAGTAATGGGCTGTGGTCAGAGAACTCAATTTTTAGCCTTTAAAAATCATTAATCCACAACGGTACCATTACATTTTACAGATGTCTGCAGGAGGATTACAGAGTGCAAGACTTGCTATGGAAAAGGTAATTTAAGGCAATATTGTTCAGAAACTGGATACAAGTCTGGCAGTTTTGAAACTAAACATACCATAAACATTTTTTTGTAAATTAAAATACAAAAATCACCAAATAAAAAAATAAAATTAATAAAAGAGGGAAAACATGACTAAAATATTATATTTCTAAATAGTTTATTGGTACAAAATTATTAGATGTTTTTTGGTAAAGGACACTATATATTTACCCACAATTCTCAGAGGCCTACTACATACGGAATATAATTTCCCTTCTGCTGTTTCTTCAACAGAATTTTAGTCACATGACTCAGAATGTGTCTTTGACATAATAAGCCTTCTTATAGACACAGCTACATAAAATGTTATGTATTCTAATATATATATTACACCGATAAAATTAGATAGCTTGACAAAGGCCCTGTTGTGGGCCAAAATGTTGTTTTGATTCTGCTCCAATAAATCTGCCCACTGCATTGAACTTGAGTGCCTGGACCATCATTACTCTTTTGCAAATCACATTGTGAGGATTGGCCAACTTCAGGTCCGGTTGCACCCTGGGATCCAGGAGAGTGCAGTATTGATTCCCAACGACTATCGATCCCTACTGTCTCCTGTCCCTCACTGGCTATTTCCTCATATAACACTACCCTCACCTCTGCAGCCCCGCTCCAAAGAGAACACACCCCCAACTGTGGCACACTAAATTAACACGCTACCCTTCAGATTTTCTCTCAGGCTACTGAACAAGAGGTGGCTGCGCTTCTCCTTTCCTCTCGCCCCATCACTTGCCCGCTTGATCCTCTCCTGTCTCACCTTATCAGATCTATCTCCTCTTGTCTCGTGCCTTCCTTAATACACATCTTTAACTGCTCTCTCTCTTCTGGTGTTGTCCCTGCTGCCCTTAAACATGCTACTGTAGCACGCTTTGTCTTTACCCGTCTGACTTGTTTCCTCAATTCCAACTCTCTCCTTGACCCTCTTCAGTCTGGCTTCCGTCCCCTCCACTCTACTGAGACTGCTCTTATTTAGGTCACTAACAACCATACTAATTCTTCTTGATCTCTCTGCTGCCTTTGACACTGTTGACCATGTTCTGTTGACTCTGTCCTTGGTCCCCTTCTATTTTCTCTTTATACTGCCTCTCTTGGCAAACTTACTACATCATTTGGATTCCAATACCACCTGTACCCTGATGACACTCAGATATATCTCTCCTCCCCGGACCTCTCCCCTGCCATCCTGCAACGTGTCACTGCTTGCCTTTCTTCCATCTCTGACTGGATGTCCTCCAGATTTTTGAAACTCAATCATTCTAAAACTGAACTCCTTTTTTTCCCCTCCTCCTAATACTAATCCTCCTCCTTCACTCTCCCTTCAAGTTAGTTGTACCCACATCAGTTCATCCTTGCAAGCATGCTGTCTTGGCGTTATACTTAATTCTGGCCTCACATTTGAGTCTCACATCCAGTCTGTTACCAAATCCTGTAAATTCCACCTTAAAAACCATAGCCCGCATTCGTCCCTTTCTTATGCAAGATGCTACTGAGGAGCTTGTCCATGCTGTAGTAATCTCTTGCATGGATAATTGTAACTCTCTCCTAATAGGTATTCCCGCAAGCCGTATTGCCCCGCTACAGTCTGTAATGAATGCTGCAGCTAGACTGATTTACTCTCCTGTCACTATTCTCACGCATCTCCCCTCTGTCAGTCCTTACATTGGCTTCTTGTATCCTATAGGAGTCAATTCAAGGTACTAATCCACACCTATAAAACACTGACCAATTCTAGCCCCTCCTATATATCTTCACTTATCCGCAGGTATGCCCCTTCTCGGTCTCTCCGCTCTGCCCATGACCTTCGCCTATCCACTGCCAGTACGGCCAACTCTTGCAAGACTTCTCGCGGGCAGCTCCGTTCCTTTGGAATAGCCTGCCTACGACCATCAAGCTCTCCCCTAGTCTTCAATCTTCTAAAAAGTGTCTCAAATCCCATCTCTTTAGGAAAGCTTATGGCCTCCCAGAGTAACCTGTACCTCACAGAGAAAGACAGGAAAATGACAGTTACATTTTCTATGAAAGTTGGTTTGTGATAACTCTCAGACCAGTCCAGTCAACAGCTAGAAAATGTTATCGATATCAGTGGGGAATTGTTGTTTACATCTATATAAAAATGAACAAAAAAAAACTGTTTAGGTATTTATACGATATACACAATACTGCCATCGAGAGGGCCAGGATTGAATGAGGAAATTCAGCCATTATGTGATCCCGGCAGAAGCTGATCTAATTTGCAGACAAAGGTCTCGATTTAATAAGCTTTCCAAATGCTTCAATGCGGTTACAAAAACTTTGCAAATGATTTGTCTATGGAAGTCATCGTTAAAGTCTCTGGGGATTTTTGTCGATAAATCATTTGGAAAGTGTTTTCTAACAGTATTAAATCATTTGGAAATCTTATTAAATTGAGGCCAAAGACCCGGAGGAAAGTAGCATATCATTATATACAGAATTACACTCCATGTGAAGGTATATATATAATCCACTATTCTATAACCGAGGCAAGGATGTTAAATAGCTTTATATGTTTTGCATTATTTGATTATATATTTTATTGAAAATGGTTTGTTGTCCAACTGCAATGTGCCTGGAGGCATTAGCCTTATATAACTGCAAAAAGTGTGCTATACAGAATGAAAAATATTGATATAATTCTTGAAAGGACATTGTTGCCTCTTCTGTAATTCCAGGGGCCTGTTGGTTAGTGGCATCTATGTACGTATTTTTCAGCTCTAAGTAATACTTTTTCTATTTTCTACACAGTTCATATTTGTAGAGGGGGGGGAGGGGGGGGGGGAACCACCCTAGAATTCTGTATCTACAGGCACAGAGTCTTAAATATGGCATTGACCACAAGAAATATTTGACTATAACGATTTATTTATTTTATTTATTACTGGCATTTAGAAAGCGCCAACATATTCCACAGTGCTGTATGAGATTAGACTGAGTAAACAACAAACTAGATTTTAAATATGGTATGGAATGAAATAAGGTAATTATTAACAATGAATTCTGTAATATGATATAATATCCCTTTATTATGATTAGAACATATAGACTGACATTTGGAGTGATGGATAGTTTAAAAAGTGTCTTCAGCTTGCGCTTTCTTAATTGTTTGGTGTTTACAATAGGTGGGCAAAAGAAGCCAATGAGACTCTCCAATAAAATAAATTTATTCATAACAATGGACTGTTCCTTTAAATCAGGTAACATCGGTGGCAGAGAAACAATTTACTCATCTCTTTCATTAGGTACTTTTCTCCTTTCACTATAGTTTACACATTACAGACGAGACATACATACATTTTATATATGCATATTTATAGACTGGCAACATTCTACAGCAAATGTGTAAGGTTTGTACACACAAACATGGAAACATAATCACTAATTTTAAAGTAACCAAGCTGTGACTATAGTAGAGTGATTGAGTAAGCTAAATTTGACTGAATTTAGCATTTCACTGTCCTGTTCATTACAGCTCAGAGTTTAGTAAAAAAAAAAACTTTGTATAGATTATATTGTATTGATTTTTTTTTGGCCATACTTCATGTTAATTTTTAAAATAGGCAGATATGCCAACACAATATTGGGTTCAAATTAATATTGTTGGACAAACTTTCAACATAGTTTAACATTTTTGGATAAACTTTTAAAATAATTTGTTTCCAATATTAAAATATCAAAGATATATGAATACAGAAAAATATAAAAATATTACAAAACCTTTCCTCCTCTCCTAATCTAACCCTGATACAGAACCCTCAATAAACCAGTGCCTACAAAAATATACAATGAGTACAGGCAATGCCCAGAAATAAGAGACTAGAATTTGATGTAGGCAGGTGGGACCGAAGGAGCCCAGAACCCCCATAAGGTTTGGAGAATCTAGGAACCTAAACAGCTCACTCTCCTTGGGATGGTTCAACTTGCTCGGTGACACCTCCACTAACACGACATTTACCGGTATATGATGAAACCTCAACTGTAATTCGGAGTATACATCGAGGGATGAGCCGCCCATATAGTACTCCTTATCAATCCTCATTATTTCTTGAGTTGCAATAAGAGAACTTTGTAAGCTTTCACTGTTTTATTCTAAATCTCAATGCATATGAATATTAACATCTTGATCTAAACTCCCCTGTGAGGGATGGTCTTTGCTAAATTTGGAATCCATAAAACTCATTAAATAAAATTCTTAATTTTTTCAAAACAAATAATTTTGAAACTTTATCCTCAATATTACAATATTAAATCAAGGCCAATTTTTGTAATATAGAGTACGTGTGACAAAGAAAATCATAGTGTGTATGAGGATATATACACACATACAAATATGTAAACACACATTGCCTATCTACACACATGTATGACAGATCCCTTCCTTCATGTCCACCCCCACACTTTTTGTTTTTGATGAGTGAGCAGAACTCTGTGGCAGGTAAAATGATCCTTTATGTGCACTAAGCCACAGGGGACATTTAAAAAGTCAATCATTCAGCCAGGAAAACATTTTTTCCCTTGGTTCTTATGTTTCAGCTGATTTGACCAAAGCAAGAAAAAAAGAAAAGGCAAAAGTACAGAAAAAAAATCTTCTCGTGATAACTTTAGGAAGATTTAATCGAGGTTTTGTGTATGAATAGGTCCCCCTCAAAATAATACATTAATTCTGCGAAGAAAAAACAAATTGTGTATTGATAGAGATTGGAGCTCAATGTTATAAACCGTGTTCCGTACACTGGATGTAAGTTCTACCACCACCTCGTTATTCTTTATATTGTAGGGTATTTTTTTAGGAAGGTTTTAGAAGCTCTGAACTTAACCTTCAGGGTTATTCACTAATGAGAGAAATGCTGGGAACTCAAAGTAAATTCCTACTTTAAAATTAGCCAAAGTAAAAGCAGATTAGACCAGGAGAATTTTTTTTCCCTTTCGCTATTTTGGCCTAAATTTAGACATTTTAACTCCAGTCAATTCTCACTTTGGTGAATAACTCTGATAGGGTTGTATAGATGAATGCTGTGTCTGATACATCACTAACTTTTCTTCTGGAACGTCAAACCTGTCTTGGTAAATTTACTTGTACCAGTGCGTGCTAATCAGGTGGCTGTGTGGGCGGTCCACCTCACATGACAGGTGGCAGGAGGGTGCATAGAGCTTCCCCCTCCTATCTGGTAAGTGCCCGCTTTGCCAGTTTGAGTAGACCATGAAGTGGGTAGTGAGGGAGCTGCTGGGATCATTCTGTACTCTTGCTGCCCTATACTGATGGCCTTAAGCCAGGATGTAATATAACCCCAGCTGCAGTGTCAGTTCAGAACTGCAGGGAGCTGCTCAATTAGTGCACAGTGATCTCACCAACAAACCACTAGGCAACAAGGATAATTAAATGAATATGAGATTGCATGAACGTGAGCATGTGTGCGTAATTTTACTACAAAAAACGGCAGTGCAAAGTGACACATGCACACACACAAAAAATCTACAGACTGAAGGGTCAGCGCAACATACATTTCTTCCCTGGGTGGCAGGTCTTGTACGCCTTAAACGTGCATTATACAATGCTGTCACTTTGTAAATAATAATAAAGGCATGCATAGAGCAGGAGTGGGCAAATATATACACATTGGAAGGAGTTATTGATTTACATGTATTCATTACAAAGTGAGTAATTACAAATGGAGGCAATATAACGTGTTTATTTTTTTATTTGACATCTAATTTCAATAATAAGAATCAGGACAGTTTTCCTTCAAATAACTAAAAGGATTGTATTAGATTCTGTAGATGATAGTATCTTCACCCTCTGCGTGTTCTTTACTCCTCAGCCAGCTGTCTGTCCATCAAAACAGTCTTCTCAGCGTCATGATTTACTGGAATGTGCCACACATGGCATTCATGAACCTCAGCCTGGCCAAACCAGACCCTTGCTCTAAATGTTACCACAATCCTGTGTGGCCATAACACCTCTCAATCATTGGATCTCTGTATCCCATTCAGGTCTACGCAATAATAATAATAAAGACGAAGAAAAAAATAAATGGATAAAAAGAACATGTTAACTGAATGCTGACATCACTTGCAGTGATGTGCTTTTTATCATGTGATGGGACCAAAATATCGTGTGGCTGCAATGTGAGAGTTCCATCTAGAGGACTAAGGATTCAAAAAACAGCTAGAAAGAGTTACATGTAAGATGGCTTTGTCTTCCCCCAAGCCAGCAATAAATGTGCATAGTTAAACTAATAAATCCACCTACCATTAAATGATGCACTCTGCTGTCTATTACTTGTCTTTTTTTTTCTCACAGTGTCTGAATTATTAGTTTTAAAAAGTGTCTCAGCAAGTAGGACAGTAACTGAATCCCATCAAGGATCACCTGGGGACACCCGAGTGCCTTCTTTGCATCTGGAATTCCAATATTGTGTCATCAGCACCTTATGAAACTTGCCACATACGAGTCCAATAGACCGCAGAGTAGTGATTAATAAGCATGATGGGATTTGCAGTCAATGACAGGAAGCAGGTCACCATATCAGGGTTCCAGTAACCCTTTGAGTGCCGGGGAGAGCATGGATTACTTTGTGTATGTCGCTAATTTTGCAATTGTTAAACCAGAGTCTCCAGCATTGGATTCTGGGAGTTTGCGGCAGACTCATAAGTAGTAAATCATAAATATTTATGTGTCATTATGAGTCCAATCTCAGGTGATGGATGAAGACAGAAGGGTAAAATGTTTGGTATAGGATTTTATCCAGATTGCTCAACATTAGTGGAACACTCCAAGTTGCTGCTATTAAACAAAAATGTAACATTAAGAAATATGTGGCTGGATCTGGAAAGGAATGAATACATTTTAAATTATAGTTAAATACAGTAGTGTATCAATGCAGCAGAGGGCCTAATCCTTCAGCTATTTATTTCTTTCCCTTTCTCACCACATTTTCCTACATATCCTCCAAGCTGTATCACAAACAGCCATGACACCTCATGCAAAACTCCTGTTTCTCTGAATTGTGGGAAAATACATTTCATTTATCAAACTGTTTACTGACTCAGAAACAAAAGATCAGAATATTAAACTGGGCAAAAGAAAAGGACTAAATCCAGGCTCCTGGAAAACAGAAAAATATAAAAAGTATTGAAACTTTGTATATATATCTAGATAGGTATATCTACAGGGCGGGGTTTACACCTCTTCTTTCTGTAGGTACAGGATTTAAAATGGCATCTACAATTTATTCAGAAAACCAAATTCAATGGAAATACCACGACAGCCAAAAATTAATTTATTCATACATTCATAAACACGCATTTACAAACGCACACACATACTTGATTTTAATTTGACAGAATGTACAGCATCTACTCACATGGATGTCTAAAAGTAGTTTTATTTATAAAACCACAAGATAAGCTATTCAGAAATCAAGAAAAAGTTGTTACATTATTCCTGTGGTTTGTAGAATAGTTTTAATAATATCCATTTGTGTATGGGACAACATTTATTTATTTATAAAATATTTTACCACGAAAGATACATTGAGATGTCCTGGGTCCACAAAACATTGCATTGATACATTAGGGTACAATAAAATACAAAAACAATATTAATACACAATAAATACAAAATTTAACATAGAACAGGCAGGAAATATATAATCAACCATGACAGGTGCATTCTGTTTTGAGGTATGTAGAGAGGGATCTTTTAAAGGACTTTAGGCTTGGGGAAGATTTTAAAGTGTGTGGGAGGTCGTTTCATAATTGCGGCGCTCTGTAGGAGAAGGAGGTTCGGGCCACTTTCTTTTTGTATTGAGGTAGGCTAAATAAAGTGTTGGCACTTGATCGGAGGTTATAAGAGGTGGGAGCAGCCGGGGAGAGCATTCTACTCAGGTAGGGCAGGAACTTCCCAGAAAAGCTCTTAAACACAAGGCTGGAAAGATGAAGGGTGCGTCTGGATTCCAGCGACAGTCAGTTTAGTTCTTTTAGCATGTCACAATTTACATGTATGTAAATATCTACCAAGCAAGGTTTGTGGGTATGTTACATTCCTGTTCAGAACAATAGAAGGACTAGGAAAGGATGGAAAATTTCAGTCACTTCCTGGTTCCTGAGACAGTTTCAGCAAGGGAAAAGTGCTAACAAAAAAAATATCTACTTCCACGTTACATAAATAGGTCTGCCAATAACTTGCAGTACACACAAATACACACTTAATGTAACACAAATTTACACCGTAGACAAATACACAACAGCATTCACAAACAAATACACCTCTATTCATAGACAATGGTTTTCTGAGCAACCATTGCGTTGCTCAGAAAATACACCTTACATCCACTATACACATATATACACAATGGTAATCATTCACAGAGAAACTACACACAAGCGCTAGCACTGCACATAGAATACATCTACACTGTACACACTGCCACATGTACCCAGGGCCGCAATAAAAAAATTTGGAGCCCCCCTCCCCTTCCCTCACCCCTGGGCCCGCCCACGCCCTACCTAGTCTGCTGACAATGATGCAGAACTGAATGTGCTGTGTATAGTGGAAGTGAATTAAAAATGTTTGTAATGGATGTAGTGCTTGTGTGTATTAGATACTGTTTGTGCAGTGAATGCAGAGTGTGTGTTTGTGTAGCGGATGCAGTGTGTATAGTGGGCAGTGTGCAGAGTGTGTTTGTGTAGTGGATGTAGTGTGTGTTTGTGTAGTGGATATAGTGTTTGTGTGTACTAGATGAAATGTGTTTAGTGGATGCAGTGTCTGTAGTGGATGTAGTGTGTGTATTAGACGCAGTGTCTGTGTATAGTGAATGCAGAGTGTTTCAATTTGTGGTTGATGTAGTGTGTGTACTGTGAATACAGGGTGTTTGTGTAATGACTGCTGTGTGTACAGTTAATGCTGAGTGTGTGTTATTGTAGTGAATGCAGAGAGTGTGTTAATGTGAAGTGAATGCAGAGTGTGTGTTAGTGTATGCAGTGTGTGTGTTGTGTTAGTGTATGCAGTGTGTGTGTGTTGTGTTAGTGTATGTAGTGTGAGTGTGTGTTGTGCTAGTGTATGCAGTGTGTTTTAGTGTATGTAGTGTGTGTGTTGTGTTAGTGTATGCAGTGTGTGTTGTGTTAGTGTATGCAGGGTGTGTGTTGTGTTAGTGTATGCAGTGTGTTGTGTTAGTGTATGCAGTGTGTGTTGTGTTAGTGTATGCAGTGTGTTTTAGTGTATGCAGTGTGTGTTGTGTTCGTGTATGCAGTGTGTGTTGTGTTAGTGTATGCAGGGTGTGTGTTGTGTTAGTGTATGCAGTGTGTTGTGTTAGTTTATGCAGTGTGTGTGTGTGTCTTGTGTTAGTGTATGCAGTGTGTGTGTATGCAGTGTGTGTGTGTGTCTTGTGTTAGTGTATGCGGTATGTGTGTATGCAGTGTGTGTTTTGTGTTAGTGTATGCAGTGTGTGTGTTGTGTTACTGTATGTAGTGTGTGTGTTGTGTTTGTGTATGTAGTGTGTGTGTGTGTTGTGTTAGTGTATGTAGTGTGTGTGTGTGTGTGTGTTGTGTTAGTGTATGTAGTGTGTGTGTGTTGTGTTAGTGTGTTGGGGGGGAGGAAGGGGCATTTTCACATTAATTTCAAATACATTTTATATTAAATTAGATAAATGTCATTCCCCCCTCCCTGCTTCTTACCTGTGTCCAGGGAGGGGGGAGATTCCATCCCTGGCGGTCCGGTGGCATTGGGGTCCCCCCGGCTCCCTGTTACCGCAGAGGGGGCCCAGCACACTGCCTGTTCTCTCTTCTAATAACTCTCGCAATACCCGCGGCCTTCTGAGCGTTGCCATGGCAACGCTCCGCAAGGCAAGCAGGCCGCGGGTATCGCAAGAGTTATTAGAAGAGAGGAGAACAGGCAGTGTGCTGGGCCCCCTCTGCGGTAAGAGGGAGCCGGGGGCCCGCGGCTGCACACATAGATAGCGATATTCGCTCTCTATGTGTGCAGAGAGGGAAAGTGGGCCCCGGGACTGCCAGAGCAGTCCGGGCCCCACAGGAACGCTGGGCCTGTGACAACTGTTATGGTTGTCATGCCCTGATGGCGGCCCTGCATGTACCTGCACTTGCAGAAAATACACACCCACTGCATACAGCCCTGCGTTTACATACATGTTATTGTTGAAGAAAATACAAACACTCCATCATTCACAAACATTGACAATACATATGGGCACACATCAGTGTTCACACACACTGGTACTATACACATACAAATCTGAATATCACAAACACACACAGTCAATATACTAAACTCCATTCAACACTAAATACACAACAATACAGATACAGCCACAGTAACTCTATATATACATATATTGCAAAAATACAATGATATTCAAACTATACACATACCAGTATAAAGAGTTACATAACCGAAGGTATTTCTATATGTATTGGACCTCAGGGGGGCTCAGATTGCTTCAAGTATGTCATTGGGGAGTTTACACTTGGTTGCAGCCCTGGGATTTAATTGGTAACAACACCAGTAATCCCAAGTGGCTGCATGTAGAAACCGACAGAGATAGAGAGTTGGTTATGTTTTAACATCAATTTCTGTGTTATTAGAATGTAGCTTCCACAAAATACATACAAATGTCTACTCAAAAAAGAAAAAGTGGAAAATCTCAATATATTACTCCCGGTTAAATCACGTTGAGATTTATAATGTAATATTGTTTTTTTTTTACTCCTTCGAACCAAAGACAACTTGTGCATTTAAAAATTACAATTGTGTCTGTGCATTATGATTGTAAAACTACTGACAAATACATACAGATTCTATTCCTTTACCCAATTCATAGCTTAACTTCCATATCACTGACAAAGCTAAAAACTACCAACACTGCCACATGGAATACTCATTTTGAGTTTAATGCAGTACACACACCTGAATTCAAACACTTTCAGTACAA